GTTATTGCTCCCCACCCTCCTTACTCGCCAGAGTTACCCCCCCCCTGTAATTTCGCTTTGTTTCGCAAATTTAAAATGAAACTGAAGGGACGATGTTTTGAAACAATGTCTGACATCCAAAGGGAATCTCACAAGCGATACTCGACAGCATTAAGGAAAATGACTTCCACGGTGCTTTTGAAGCATGGGAAAAAATGGTGGGATCACTGTGTACATTCCCAAGGAGACTCGTTTGAAGGAGATGGCAGCCAAAATTGAATAAGTTAAGAAGCCAGCATTTCTTTTTTGACCTGGTCAGGGAACTTTCCAATAGCACCTCATAAATAAAATTACATTGGGATAATACTCGTATTGACAGAAAGGAAGGATTCAACCTCAGTGAGGCATAGGATTCTAAAACCAGATTATTAAAGCACTCCAACACACATAGATCAGGAAGATCTCAAGAAGACACAAAGAAGAATATGCTACAAAGGAAACAAAGTGATTTACAGCAGGAGGACCAGGTTAACCAATATGGTGATAGGTCTTATGATATTGTTACATAAGTAATAAATATTTATGTGGAATAAATAAATAAAATCATTACATTCAGATTCTATAAAGAAATGTGACATCACACTTCTTTTAGTTACAGTCATGGTGCTGCATGGTTAAAAGGCATGATTACTTTATCTAAGCTGTGTATGGTTTCATAATAGTAATGTACAGTTGTTGTAGATTGCTTTACGCATTAAACCATAGGCTTATATGGTTTCCTATCAACAAAGGATAGAAGGATTTAATATTGTGGATAAGATTTATTTTGTTTGGTCTTCAATATTTTCAGTTTTCAGAGGTTGATTGATGAATTGCAGAAATGTGTGAAGACCAAACCAAACAACTTCCATCTGGAGAAAGGCAGTTACTGCCTGGGGAAGTTCCCAGAAGATGGAATGTAAGTTAAACTCCTTTTTTTTACCATTCAAGATCGCTGTAAATATGAGTCACTGTGGAATGTGTTCAACTTTTTATGTGCTGGTTTTGTTCTAAGTTCTTGTTCTGCCATTTACCTTAATTAAAATGCAGTTTTTGAACTTCTAGCATGCTGAATGTTGAAAAATAAATTATGTTCATACAGAGTCCTATTGTCTGAGGTTAATTGGGACTAAAAGATCGCCAGTTAAAGCAAATCCCCTTGAAGCGGGGAATTTCCGCCTGTAAGAAATAATGTAAATGGGGGTTAGTAAGGACCAGAACATCTGAGGGTATCATGAGTAGTCTGTAACCAGAGAAGTTAGCATCATATTTCGCAATACATCTATCCTTGCCTCTAAGACCCAATACATGGATTGCATCATTAGGAAGGACATTGTGATTGAGCTCCGTCCAAACAGTATGGACAGAGAGGTGGGTTTTTGTCTCAGCAAGCCTTGGAAACTTGTCATCTGCTCCCTCAAGAAACCTCCTGAACATGATGCCACATCTACAAGGCTACACAGGTCAATGCATGCCCGGCAGCTTAGCCCCAGGGCTACTGGGTCAGTTCTTACTTGGTAGCCCTGGATCCCCCCCTGACAACGATCTAATACTGGCTCTGACCTGCTCTCTGCTCCTGCTACCTGCTCACCCATCTCCCCAGACCCTTCCCCTCTCCTCTATTGATTTCCCATGTGGCCCACTCTCCCTCCCTCCCTGTTCTTATATAGTTGGGTGTTTTTGACTGGTGACTCAGTCTGCAGCCACCTGCTCACCCTGGTTAAGCTCTCATGGATTCTTCTTCCCTGAAGATGGAGGCGAAATGTCAGTTCACACGAAATCTACATGGCGCCACATCCCAGAAGACAGCAATCTTAACCATAAATGAATTTTTCCATATATCCCATAAACTTTTTCCACAAATTTTATTGAAATTTGAAATGACAGACTGCTACCAAAAGTTATTGGACATTTCCAATTGTCATTCACATTAATCCATAACAAAGCCTAGTTTACTTAAGGTGTCCATAAATGGTTGCATAAGCCACTTACAGTGGGAGATGTAGAAGATGGTCCTAGTCTCGTACTGTCTACAAAATGTTGTCACGATTTAGTGACCAGAAAGGGTGTTTGGATTGATTTATTGAATGCTTATACCTCGTAACTACAGGTGCCTATAACAGTTCCATGGATCTACACACACTACAGACTACTCCAAACATTAAAGCTTCTCTATCTTCACCGTGCATTGCTAGGTAACAACCCGCAGCAGTTTGGTGCTGACATCTTCACTAGGTGGTGGATAACTCACAACTGACTGGCCTCTTCCGTTGATCTTCATTATAGTACCCTGGGTCAGACTGAATAGGGAACAGTGGCTCCAACAGCTCTTTTGTTGTTGCATGTTTGTGCTTTGCCTAGCAATGGATGACATCTCTTGTTAAACTATTCGGTCATGTCACAGTATTATCAGTTGCAGAACTGAAGCCATCCAATATTCTTGTTGAAGATTTTATTCTATATATCAAATTATGTTTTGTGAGTAATAAGTTCCATGCTTTAGTAATTATCTGTAATGGCTTCTAATGCCCTCGCTGTATACATTTTTGTTGACATAATGGACATTGTCCAATGAAAACACTCCCATTGTGAAACTAGACCATTGTCACACTTCAAGAACCATGTTTATAACTGTGTTAATCATGTGCAGGTGGTACAGAGCACAGGTTGACCAACTGGTGGAAGATGACCATGCATCTTTGTTCTTTGTAGACCATGGTGATAAAGCACGTGTCAGTATAAGTGATATTGCTCCCATCACAGAGATGCTGATTAAAAAACTACCATTCCAAGTGAGTACTGGATTTGTAATTAAATACTGTTTGTCACAAATTCCTCATTTGTGGACATAGGCTTCAGCATGTGAATATTCATATTTTTGTTAACATTTTTATGGTCTTTTTCAAACATGTGAGAAGTTATTTGAAGCAATATTTATTCTTTTCAAATGTCACATTTTATATGAAGTCCAAATATAATTTTGATTGGTTTCATGGTGCCTACGAACTTCTATTCATAATGCTCACGTCTCTGTCTTTGTTTCTTAATTTATTGTTAATGATGCTTTTTGAAGTGTGTATGTTATATATTATTGAAAGGCATGATGTTTGTGATTGAACAGCTGGAGGAAGTGGTCAGGGCTTCTTGAAAGGAATTGTCCCAGAATTTGATTTCAAGACTTCCAAGTTGTACAGCAGAAGTACTAACACACCTCTGCAGTGTTCATTACAGTGCTGTGAAGGATAGGAATAGCTCATAAAAGAGAGCATGTGTGTGTATATAGGAACATGGGAGTGCATGCACAGATCAGTTTGTGCACATTCCCTGGCACAGCTACAGCTGTGTCAGGCTCCATGATCCACAAGGAATCTGTCTTCTGTGAAAAGTTTTCCTTTAAATTTAAATACTTTAAGATATAACATGGCTGTTCAAGAAACTGTATTTCTTGTTATTCTTTTCCAGGCCATAGAATGTTCCTTAGCTGGTATTAAACCACCAGATGGAGGCACGTGGTCTGCAGAAGCAACAGATGTGATGTATGAGTTTTGCGATAACTCTTATGGTCTTTATGTTAAAGTATGTAACATGTATTCATATTGGTATTACATACAGTACAGTCATATAGTTCTACACATTGAAACAATCAGTGGTAAACCTTCTCCAGTTCATGTGCCAAATTAAAAGACAAGCTTCAAAAGTTCATTATGCATGAAGTAAATTTAGAAACCATATTTATTCAACTGAGCCATGTAATAAATCAGGTACTTAAACAGTGACCAGTCATTGGAGAATGTGGGGTTTATTTTTGGGCAGCTTCATGTGAAATTCATGACAGATGAAATGGCACAGTGGTGCAGGGTTTCTCAAGTCTCCTTGGTTTTCTTCTGTTGAGCTACATTACTCTGTACTGATCTGTCATCACTCCCCTAAGGTGTGCGATATCCCTGATCAGGCAGCACATTTTTGTAACCTTAATCTTAGATGGGATCTGAAAAAATGATACCAAAACATGTCTATGATAAACCCTTCATGATCAGATTTCCTGATAGAAGTGAATGGAAAGAGGGGTTTCGACCAGATGGGGGGGAGGGCTAATCTGGTATACAGATGGTTCCAAGACAAATAAAGGCACTGGAGCTGGGGCGTATTATGATGGAACAGGGCAGAAACATAGTTTCTGCCATGGTCAATATACAACAGTATTCCAGACAGAAGTGTATGCCATTAAGGCATGCACAGTTGAGAATTTAGATAGAAACTATAAAAATAGGAATATCTATATTCTATCAGATAGTCAAACTGCAATCAAAGCACTTGGTACACACCAAGTAACTTCAAAATTAGTCTGGGACTGCCACCAATCCCTCACACAATTGGCCAGACATTACAGAGTTCAACTGATATGGGTGCCAGGCCAAGAGAATATTGCTGGGAATGAAACTGTAGATCAGCTGGCAAGAACAGTATCTGAACATCCACTCATAGGACCTGAACCAGCTTGCGGCATCTCAGTTGGAGTTGCCAAGAAAGCGATCAGTGACTGGACAAATAGAAATCACAAAAAACACTGGGGATCCACAACTGGACTCAAACAGGCAAGAGGATTTATATCAGGACCCTCTGTTAAAAGAACAAAGGACCTTTTTAAATTAAACAGAGATCAATTAAGATGGGTGGTAGGATTACTTACAGGACACTGCCACCTAAAAGGGCACCTTTCCAAACTGGGACTGACAGATCACCCAACCTGTGAAAGGTGCATACAGGAAGATGAATCAGCCACACACATCTTATGTGATTGTGAGGCCATAGCTTACATAAGATTTCGTCACCTGGGTCAGTTCTTCATGGAACCAAGTGACTTTTATGACACCCTCATAAACNTGATACCCCCATAAATAAAGTCCTACATTTCATTCAAAGTGTAGGATTAATGAAGGGTTAATCCAAAGGGGAAGCACAATAGATCATTGAAGGTTGTGGTGCAAGGACTGGATTTTATGGCCCACCCCTCATACTCATACTCATACTCAAAGTTAGTCTTGTGGCTATGGCTCTGACTTCGCACCTGGCTGGTTACAGAGTAAGGAAGTTAGTTCTATTCAAATATAAGGTAGTCTTCCATCCCCATTGAATTATTTCTCTTAGGTACAATTCTTCAGTGAAGTGTAACATATTGTCCTTATAGTGGCATATTTTAGACCAGAGAATACTTTTATGTTCAAGCTTGCACCTAGTCACTGCTCTTTGTTTTACTTCTGTCACTGCTCATTGGCCTGTGAAGTACTGTGTTTATGGAACATCACACAATTATTTGTTTCACTATCTTACCACATAACTGTTAATTTAAAATTTGCATCATGAACAGTTTATGATAATTAAGGAGTCTGAATATCAGGTTTTCCTTACTTCCATGAGGTCTCCTGTATTTAGATCAGATATGTTTATTAAACTTTTGCTTACTAGTTACTCTAAACCACAAAGTGTCACTGCACTTCACAAAGTAATCAACATTTAACTGTGGCGTTGAAGTACTGACATGAAATTTTTCTGAAAACTATTAACATCATTCTGGTTGTCATAGCAATCACATGGGGCATATGGATTCACATGTTGTGGATGTTTCATCTCTATGAAATGTACTGGTACCTTAAATGGAGAGCCATGGCGTAGAAACATGGCACTAAATAAACTGTGTGAGAGTAACTGTAGCAGTAACACAATCTAATAATTACTACTTTTGAAATATTTTTTTTTCATATGACAGTATTATCCTCCATGGATATGTGAGTTTTGATATCCTTACCTGAAGCCAGCAAATAAGACATTCTGAGAAAATCAACTTGACGCACCTTATTCATTAGTTACATACTAATCTCTTAGCTTTATTTCAGAATGGTTGTGACAGCTTTCCTGCCTTGAAGGCAATGTCTGTCAGGGTGCTTGTCTGAAAATCTAAGAATGAATTTCTGGCTTCTTATGAATATGAAACTTATCATCAGTCAGCATTTTCTTTGTTGCTTCACTCTACCTACTCACTCCACCAGACTGTTGCAAAAGGTAAAAAGGTAAAATTGTTCCTGTGCTTTACTAATTAAGCACTACACTACGAAGGCATATTCCACCAGACTTTTGTATGTATATTAATTTATCTTAACTTAGTCTTAACAGTGATCATCCATTGTCTAACATGTTTCTAGTTACTGCAATAATAGCGAAGAATGAAAAGACGTTTTTATACAGTGATGCACATTGGTGAGTAGTGGTGGTGGTGGTGGTGTCAGTGGCGACGGCTGCAATGACGACTTTCCAGATATGTGCTATATTTTGTTTGAACCGCTATGAGAAATTATTTTGACAGATCTGTGAGGTTATGAATGCCTCTGTAGATGATGTCACACTTTCGTGATGGTTTAATACTCTTTCCCTGGTAGTAAAATGGCTGGTGCATGAAGCTGACCACTCAACTCCATCTAGTGCTGAAGTCAACAGTGGTGGAGCTATACCCCAGTCCCCCATGTCTTCATGGCATAGTGCTTAATTAATGAAGCACAGGGACAACTTTACTTAATACTAATGGAGGTTATGCTTTGTGTGGTGGCACTGCTGTCAGTATTGTTAATTTGTTGGCATGCCTTACTTTCAAGGAAAAGTAAGAGCAGTGAGGATTTCTGAAATGTTGACAATATAGCCCACATGTGCATGATGCCATGATTCAAGAATAGGCTCAACATCAGTTATAAATGTCTGTGTGTATATTGCATTCTGTTTGATTCCCTAATAAGATCTTATTTATTTTTAATTCCTTTTGATAGGTTTGTGAGCTGATGACAGCTGCAGTGTGCACTGGGGGAAGCAAGTACAAGGTTATGCTTGTAGATAACACAAGCACTAACGTGGATGTATATTTGAACAGTGTTTTACTTGAAAAGAACTTGGCTTTACCAGACAATATAGAACAGATTTTGGAAACGTTGGATCCAGTAGGTCTAGAGGGTGGTGACACAAGTGAGGAAAGTGATGTGGAGCCTGAGGAAACTCGCATTGTTGAACTTTCTGATATTAGTGTTCCTCAGCATTCCCAAGTGAATGCAGCTTCAGCATCAGCAGCAGATTCCATTTCAGATGATGAAGAATATGATATTTTGGTTGATGATCCTCTGGAATTCTTAATGGAGATGATGAGAGTAAGTACATACATAGTTTGGTACTCTATTTTAGAAAGAACATACACTCTTGCATACTTCCTGGTGCTGCAGTTTGTATTCTTGAAGCTCCAATTGTATAGTTAAAAGCAGATGTGTGGGTCTGTCTCACTCAAAAAACACCACTTTAAAAACCATTTCTTTATTATATTTACCCTGTTAAATAATTACATGTGTTGTCAGGGGTGAGGTTAGGCTTTAGAGTATGTGGGTGCAGACAGTATGTGGACAAAGTAAAGGGCATAAAATTCGTTTCCCTCCCATGTTTGTTTTATAATGAATGTTTTGAAACATACTCAGCCTTGAAGAAAACAGTCTTCTGGGATTTGGCACCGTGTATATGTGGTGTTAACCGACGTTTCGGAGGAACGTATCGCCTCCATCTTCAGGGTAGAAGAAAAAATATAAGAAATCTGCAAAGGGATGAGACCGTGAGAACCGGTAAAAGCAGACTGTGTGGAAATATACACAGCTATGTGAGAGCAGAGAGGGTAGGGGGGAAGGGCAAGTATACAAGTGAAAGCAGTAGTGTGGGAGGGGTAGGGGAAGGGAGCTGGGACAAGTGTGTTTTTGTGTAGGGGAGAGAAAGGCAAGGTTAAAAAGGCTGGGCACTAATCCGTAAGCTGAGGGGGTTGGGGGTGGTTGTTATGTTGGTTGGTCATGGCCTGTGTGGCCTTCTGGATCTGGCGTCATATCCCGGTGGGGATTTTCTAAGAGAACAGATGAGAGGTTTCCAAGACTTGCTGAGACAAAAATGAACAGAGACTTGTCTCAGCAAGTCTTGGAAACCTCTCATCTGTTCTCTTAGAAAACCCCCACCGGGATATGACGCCAGATTTTATTTTTTTTTTTTTATTTTATTTGGAGCTAAGCATTAGCATGGCTAAATCTTTAATATCATGTCACAACAACATTAACACCATTCGTGTAGCACACTGAAAATATGTATATATTGTGATTGTAATGTAAGATAAAATATTAACAACATTGTAACCCAATGAAGTTTTTTCACTTGTACACATTTTTGCAAATAGTTTTTTAATAAACTTTTCATCTAATAGCTAATTATATATGATTCTTTTCCTGTTGTTGTATGCTGTGGAAATCATGAAGTGAAATATGGATAATTTGATCGGTGGCCATGTTATAATGGAATGAGTGTGATGGAACCATTGCCAGTTTTGAAGATTGTTATCCATCATGTAGGAAAATATGATATGGTTACATAATATTTATATATTTGTTGTTATTACCAACGTATCACTTTCCCCCAAAAATAAATCTGATATGGACTAGAAAGCTGATGTGTGGAGCATAACAGAAGTTGATGTGTTCCTCAGGGCAACAAGAAGTGTGAACCTTCCCTGCCTGCAGTGCCTGCATTGCCCTCTCCATCTTCATTGCCTTCATCAGATGACCACAACCTTGAAGGGGCTAGTGCTTCCTGCATTTCCCCACAGCATCTTTCATCTAATGATAAGAGTGATATAGATTGTATACCTCCTTTAGTAAGCACAGCAAGAACACCACAGGTGTTGTGGCATCAGGACGAATGTATCATTTACATCAAGATCATGCTCACAGGTGTGCAGAAATACTACATTGGATGGGATGTGATGCATTTACAATTCAGGTATGAACATTTTGGAAAAATGAGATATACATTTGAAACTTAGGTTGAAAAAGTTCAAGGGAACAAAGAGATATGAGGTTTTGGCATAGATGGTAGGATATTATTAGCAGTTTGAAAACCATTCACATTTTAAGAACATAATTTTTACAAAATGAAATAATAACTTGTAATTTATAATACTAAAACATAACCTTGATTTTCTTAAAACTGTATGGTTTGTAAATAGATGGTTTTTTGCTGCTAATTAAAGTAAAGCAGTGGTGCTTTTCACTTATATGTAGCAGTCGCCCACTTCAAATCTTGGCCAGAATTCTACCTTACCAGAAAGGCTTCCTACAGTTTTCCTCATACTTCCCATTAAAATTCTGGAATAGTACTTCTAGATAAGTATCTATCATTCAACATCAACACTATCATTCCTCATAGTATTTGGCTCTAAATGATTGCTGCAGTTGATATGGTAACATGAAATAATCAGCAATCCATCCATTTTATCTGTCCTGTCTTCTAGTTCCCATAGAAAAATCTCAGATCTAGAGGTGAAGTGGACATTGTTAATGTTTGTTTTATACCAGTATCTATGTCATGTGTTGACCATATTCATAATTCTTAACTGTCTAGGCATTTAGTAATATTGGGTATGGGGAACATGAGAAATGTTTCCCGTCACCTCCTTAACCAGTCAAAGTCACCGTCCTCCTCCTGCATAATTCCCCTGATTTATCAGTCAGAAAAGCTTAAATTCCTCATGAGATAGAATTGACCTGGTGCTTTGTAAAAATAATTTATACTAAATAATATTGAATACTGTAATTTCCCTGTGGTTCTTTCTTCCTCCTCTTCCCCTAATAATGTGTTTATAATAGTAGAGGAAAGAAAGTTTTATGTAATTTTATATTAGGCATGTGTGGGAATAGGCTTTCAGTTTGAAATGGAAAAATATAAAGAATTGCAACAACAAGAATTTTTTTATTATAGTTTTGCATTACACAAGCAGTTCAGAGATACTAATCAGATGAATATAATTACATTTCTAATAACAATTTAGTAGTAATGTTACAAATGTTAAATCATTTTAACTATAATTAAATAAGGAATTATTGAACTGAGTCATAGTATAAATTTCCATTTAGTTTTGGTCACTTGGGTTCATGACAGAATGTCATGTGCAGTTTATATCTAAACATTTGACAACCATAGCTCTTCATGCATATGTATATATGAGTAGGAAGGAGAATTGCTATGCATTGCTAATTATATTGTTGGTGTAATAGTATGTGTAGCATTGTATCTATTTAATTGAGGTATTCAGTTTAGATTTTAACTATGGTCAAATTGATGTCTCTGCAATTTTATCTGTGATTGTCTTGTGATTGTTGTTTGACAAGTTTTATATTCAATGCCAGATGCACACTTATGAATACTCTGAAACGCTGATGTATGTATGTAATGTATATCCATTTGATTACCCTGATTATATGAGACACTTGTAGGAATTGTTGCTGTCAGCTTCACAAAATTAATTAATTTTGTCACTTTATTAGTTAACAAGGATTTTATTGTAATAAGGAAGGGAACTAACCTTTATGTTTCGTGACTTGCACTAATGTTTACTTGTACCTTATTTTACAGTACTCAGATGAAGAGCCAAGTCTATGAGGTGATGCTGGAGCTGTATAGTTCAGTTAATGTCTCTAGTATTAGTCATACTGCTAAGGGGTTTTTCGTACATATCAAGATGATGAAAACTGTAACTGGTAAGCTGATTTGAACATTCTTTCACATTGAACATGTGATAGGCTGGTAGTTACAAACCAAAGCTGAAATGGGTGAATTTTAAAATAATTACATAAACATAGTGGTTTTTCTATGACAGCATATTTGGCAATACTCCCGTGCCTAGTTTTAGCCTCAAGGTTGAAGCGTATAATGCACAGGCAGATGTGAGATTTGTGACAAGTTTGCTGGTTTGCATATCAGGTGTTAAAAAGCAATACATAAATCATCTTATAGTGTTTCATAATGTGTGAAAACAAGATATTGATGTTCACCATGAAAGTAAGAGAAGAATAAATTCAGGTTATGCTCTTGTTGCAGTTAGGAAACTGGTTACTTCATTTACTCTCCATTCTGCTAAAGATCAAAATGCATAAATTACTTATATGTGACTTATTTTGTGTAGTTGTGAAATGTGGTCTGTAACTGAGACAATAACATAAATTGCATGTACCTGAAACAAAAATTTGAAGGAGAAATATTAAATTTGGGAGGGATGGAATAAATATGTATTGTGATGATGATGTCATTGTTTGTGAGCAGGGCAAGACAGTCCTTTGGCATTACAGCTTCAAATAGGTCTGTTGCACCAAATCCTAATGATAATGTATTATGTAGACCCCGTTGCTGGGCAACCCATGAGATAAGCAAATATACAAGAGCTGTTGCTGAGTAATGGCTTCGTAAATAAACATGGTCCCACAGAAAGGATTGAAGTGCAACAGTGAGAAGTGGTGTTTTTAAGCAGTCCATGCCGAGATGTTTTAACCAGGACATTTAGTTGAGAGTCAATGGTTGAAGCAATGAATCAGTTGTATATTCACCAGCGGGTAAGGACTTCAGCAGAGGATGCTGTTAGGATCCATTACCAGGAAATGACTAATGAAAAGAAACATAAGTTTCACTGATCTTTAGAGTGTGTAAACCAAGGATGCTGTTATAGTTACTTGTAGTTATAAGTTGCGTGTAAGTGATCAATAAATCCAAACCCCATCTGTAGTCACTCAGACACACGACAGTATATAAGGAGCATTAATGGAATAACAGCCGCCAGTACTTGAACAGAAATTTGCCCCAGTGCTGCATTATTCACCACAAATTCCATATGAAATTCCCCAAGACTGAACCTGGGCTTCCATAGTGAGATGCCCAGAAACTATCCACTTGAACTAATGCATGTCCCGAATATTATGTAGCAAGGGACTTGGTAATTTATACAGCTCCCCTATTGTTGGGTTAGTAAAATCAAGGAGATTATGATGGGCTGGAAATGTGGCTCAGATGTGGAAAGCCTCAATTGCCAGATTTGTATGATTGGTTGGCTAGTTAGCAGATGCTTAAGACTAGAATATGTACTTGTTTCCCTTCACAGATCTGTCATATACAAATTTATACACAAAATTTGAATGATTTTAGGGCAACATTCCCCATAAGCTAAGAGAGGTAAAAGAAATACTAAATGTAGTTGAGTAGACTGATCAAGTGTTGTGTCCAGTATTTTACTGTTTTTCAATAAGGACATTGTCCATAGTGCATTAGATATTGTATGTGAAGCCAATGCAGCTCTTTTGCATGTGGTAAGTTCCAGCAAACTGGTAGCCAGTGGAGTCACATATGCATTGTTCTTTATGTAGTCCCAAAGGAAAAAATCAAGGGGAGTAAGGTCAGGCAAATGAGGTAGCCAAGTGACAGACCCAACCCTACCAGTCCATTTTCAAGGGAAATGACCATCTTAAGTCCTTCACATGTGGAGGCATTCCATGTTCTGAAGCAGCATTTTATTAGGACCATCATCTTGTAAAACAGAATCGTGGTACAGTTTCAGCTTAACTGAGTACACAATGCCAGTTGCAGTAATTTTACATCCTGTTTATTTTTTCAGTCAAATTACAGACAAGTTCAACTCTGAACTTCCTTTTATATGTTTAATTAATGCATGTGAATTCTTATTCCTTCAGCTTCTCAAATTACATTGATTTACATATGGTTTATGGCTACTGCAACGTTCATCAGCAAATGTGATAGTTCACAGGAGTGTAAAAATGGCATATGTCTCAAACTGCAAATAGTCACAGTAACAGTCCGGTGTTAATCCTAAAACATTTCTGCAGAATTCTGTGGACTTTTGGGTGCAACATGTTCAGTTATCACTGACTGGTCATTTCCAAGAACCTTTTCCTTTGCAAATGCATCCAGTCTTCTCAAGCAGTGTATACCCCTTATAAATTTATTTTTGGATTGTGGTTCCTGTCCAAAAATGGCACAAAATCTTTCACCATAACCAGTAATGTAACTTTGTAAGACATAGTACACACTTGATCTGCTCAGCTTGATATGTCATTTTGAAAACTATGTATGTAACACTGTAGGTGTCATGAATTGCAGAGTTTGATAACAGAATCCTTACAATACCTGTGTGTGCATGTTTGGCTGCACATATGTTGGAATTAGTTTTTCAGTTATTTGCACATCTCACATGTACATGCTGTATATTGCAAAGAATCCCAACTTGGTGATTGCAAGAAGTTGCTTGGAGATGTGCAGCAAGCCACTATTCTCAAAGTATCATCTAAATGTTATGAATGTGTAACAGATTTATATTAAAGTAGCAAGTTTTCAGAAACAGTAAAAGAGTACACCAGTATAGGAACTCTGAATGTGGCTAATTGCATACAAGATTTGCTTCCAGTCTGTGCATCTTTCTTCATGTGAGAACTACTTTCACTATTAAATTATCCACAAAAGAACATATTTTTAAAACTCTGCTTACAGTAATAGTGCAATGTAATTATGGCATTAACACTGAACTGAGCAGATTTATGTAGCAGTGCCACTCCAGATTTTTATTTTGCAGGTACCCGGTTCCAATCTGAGACAGGCTACTAGTTATCATATGATTTTCCTCAGTCTGTGTAGTACCATGATAGTACCTTACTGTAGGTCATGACCAATTCCTTCCAGGTGCTTTCATATACACAACTTGTATTTCCTTCTTAGCACTATACAGGGTGTCCAGATGAAAGGTATCCAAAAATAAACAAATTTATATCTCAGAAACTGTCATACATGTTTCCAGTTTATGTCATTGGAAAGGAGAACTCACCTTTGGTGAGCTCATTAACGATGTTAGCACCACAGGAACAGGTTCAATGCATGTGGCTAGCAGAGTTGTGATCTCTTATACATGTCCAGTGTCATTTTAGAACACAATATGGACGTCAACCTCCTACACAGAAAAGCATTCGGTTCTGGGACAGCAAACTGAGGATTACAGGTAAAATCTCTGGGAAAGACACGGACCTCTGAAGAAAATATCAGTCACATTAGAGAGGCATTCCAGCGAAGTCCACGCAAATCAATTCGTGCTGCTAGCTTGAAGTTACAAATTCCACATTCAACAGTGCATAATGTGCTACACAAAAGGCTCCGCCTAAGAGCATACAAGATTCGGATGGTTCATGCACTAAAACCGAGTGACCATGTAGCACACACAAACTTCTCTGTGGACATGCCAGAAAGAACTGGCGTGTCACCCAATTTCCTCCAAGTGTGCTTCTTGGACAAGGTAACATTCCATATCAGTGGAGTTGTAAACAGGTACAATTGCAGGGTTTGGGGCAGTCAAAATCCACATGTCACATGTGAGTTGGAGAGAGGCAGCCCAGAATTAAATGTGTGGGCCGGCTTAATGCACAACAAATTAATTGGACCAGTTTTCTTTTCGGAAAAACCTGTGACCAGACGTTCATACTTGGACATACCAGAGCTGTATGCACTGCACAAGTTACCACCTCAACCTATCCTCCAGTAAGATAAGGTACTGCCACATTTCTAACACCATGTTAGGAATCACCTGGACAGAGAGATGGATTGGCAGAGGTGGACCAATTGCTTGGCCTCCTAGGTTTCCAGATTTAACCCTATTGGATTTTTTCTTATGGGGTTATTGGGGTTATGTGAGGAACATTTTCTACTAAGTTAAGATCAACAACCTTCAACACCTGAAAGCCCACATAAGGGACACTGTGGCTATGGTAACACCAAACACGCTTCAAACAACATGGAACGAGGTCAAATATAATCTGGATATTTGTCGTGCCACCAAAGCAGCCCACATTGAAATTTACTGAAGAAAGTTATATATTTAGAAAAAAAATTGACAGTTCCCCTTTGTAATGGTGTAACCCATAAATGCTTTCTGATATATAATTATTTTATTTTGAATACCTTTCATCCAGATGCTCTGTATAACCTCAGCAGCTGAAACACTGTCATTAAATATCATAAGAATCACTCAGCACTCGACATACAGACAAAAATAACAAGAACAGTCTGTACACAAAACAGTGACTAGTTTTTGTCAGAGTAAGGTTACACATATTATCAGAAGCTTTTCGTCTAGTGTAGTATTCACAATTAAATACCGGAAGCTGAACAAGATCAGGACCTCAGACTAACCTGGTACAACTAGCTTGGAAATTATAGGTAGTCTGATTCATTGTTTAATCAAATTGTGTATTTCTTTCAGTCATCATATTTCTTAATGGTTATATTGAAACTCACACTTAATAGTATGTATATATCTCCTTATAAAAAGTTCAAATGGATATTTGAATTGCACTCCAGGTTTTTCCTGGCCACGCCTTCTGCAGTCACAGTGCAAACGACCATGGTTGAAGTTGGATTTAGAGAAGTACAAAGGTGACTTCGACAGTGATGAGGATAATGCAAAAACACGTTGTGAGAGAGGTAAGAAAAAACAGTAGCACATTCCTAAGGGCATATGATGCAACGTGGGAATTAAGTGTGTGACTATATGATCCTACTGCATCATCCATTAAGCTGTAAATTCTGAGTAAAGATCACAGGCAGAGATGGAAGAATAATAATATATTGTAACGTGTTTCGTTACTGAATACGCCGTAGAGATCGTTAATTGGTTTATTGAACAATCTACACGTAACGGCTACAATTACTTATCACACAGTTGCGGGGTTTCACACTTTATAACCCTAATCGCATTAATCTGTTACCACTGTTGCGGGGTTTCACGATTTATAACCCTATGCGCAAATCAGCTCACTCTGTCTTCAGTAGTCTACACGTTTACAGTAGGGGAGCTATGTATCACACAATCTCACACACATCCAGTTCTTCTTTCCGCGACGGCTGCTATACTCCAACTCGACTCGGCGACTGTTACATTACAACTGACTGGTAGCTGCTGTGCAGTGCCCTTATATAGCCGCAGTGGTGCCTGTTGCGTGCCACGTCACAGTAGGAAGCGGTTCCGCGTCACCGCGCGTTGCATAGCTGCCAGGATGCGGGACTCGGCTATCTTCGACTCTGCTCGGCACATCACCGCGGGGAGAGTGGCGGGGTGATGACTTGCCTATTACGCGAGCGCTACGTTACCGCCACGTGCCGCTGGGGAGGTAGGGGTCAGCATGTCATAATATTTACTGCCATCATTTTTATTTGTATTGTGATCATGAAAAAAATGAGCTTGAACTTGTGAAAAATTACATACTCTCAGCCCCATGATTGTGTAGATATAGTTTTTGCTATGTGGTTTGCCTTTATACATGCATGTATCAATGTGCACATCACTAGCACTTGAAGAGATGGATGGATTTTATTCATATTCGATATTTAAGATTTTTTCCATCCCGGGTCCAGTGCCTGCTGAATCTGAACTTACCAGCTCCAAAAGCAGGGGCCCTTAAAGGAGTCAATAATGCTGAATTATTCTGATTTATTTTCTTATCATGATGATAAACAGTTAAAAAAATAGTACAGTGAAACTGCAGTAAAATGAGTGTGGTTTGTAAGAACTTAATTATTATGACAGAACCATCAGTGTATGAATGTTGGAAAGCCATTGCATAAAACATGGGCTTTTTTCAAGCACTACGGCATAATAGGTGATTCCTAACTAACTGCCACTGTTTTCCTATAACTTCTTGCACCAACCATACTTGCAGTTTTGCTTCTTACGAGTATGCTTATGGCTATCAGCTTGTAACTATTGAGAAATGCTCATCATGTGTTGTCTGCTGCACCATGTGGTATCATGCCCTCTTTGACGCTCAGTTTCCCCTTTCCATGAGCTCCAATTGACTTGTGGTGGACATTGATGTCTGGCACGTGTTTATGGTTTTATGTCCATCAAGCAGCTGTTGTGTTCTTGTTGGCGGCAACTTAAAAATTATTAAAAACCCAAATCATGGGACCAAAATGGAAGATCTTAAACCTTAATTCAAAACATACATCTGTATGAAGTTGGCAGCTCTTCAAAAAGTGAAATAAGGTGTTACAGATAAACTTCTTCAATGTTCTTTATGATATTGAAGAACAAGGAAAATATACAGTATATACTAAAGCTACACAAATTAAAATCATTCCTTTCCTTCATGAATACGTCTTGTGAAATTCGTTTCGCATCTCACACTGTGTGATGAATTTAATGAAATTAGATCTCTTCTTGAACAGGAACTAGAGATGATATGGATCCTATCCACATGTCCCATAGAGAGGATTATTTTTGTTGTGAGTGTGGTAACATAAATTTATCATGACAGAAAAATGAACACTACCATAACACATTTTACATTTAAATATAATGGCCAATTCACAACCATTACTTAAATGCCTAACATCAAAAGTTGTCTGTATTCTAGTAATGGAATTTAGAACCCACGTTTAGTGCATATATGCAAGTATTGGTGCACTTTTCAAACTACTTTGTTATGTTGTCTGTTACTGAAATTTGATAAAAGTCGATGCATTTAATCCTCATAAAGGACAGCTTCTAATTAGCATTTGGTTGTTGGTACAAGAGGTAATGTATATTTAAAAAAATCTTTGCTGTTCAGTTCAGATATTGCTAATGATAAGAATGCTGAGTTTCTCTTTGTTATATTCATTGCTTGGTGATAATCATTTCAAAGAGGAAGAAGAAAAAGTGCCATATACACATTATTTAAACCTTAGTTCCAGATTTTATTGTGTGTAGATATTAAAGGATGGGCTTGTAGTCATGTTATTTAAATCATTTTAAAGTATTATGAGTATCCATTACAATAATCATTTTAAGGAATTTTATAAATTCTCATGTAGTAAGAAATTTGATGGTGGAATTTTTTGTATTTCAACCATTTTCACATAGTACGAATACCTGGAGAGAGAGCTGATGTGCTGCAGAGTTCTTTGCAACAAGCCACAATACTCTCAATTCCTCTGGTAACTTTAGCACTTCTCTCCCTTTTGGCATCATCATCATCTGTGATGCCAAGAGTAGGATTGATGTGCTTAAAAAATTCAGCAAGTTGCCTTGCTGAAAGAGTTACCGCAGGCTTTCACATCACAGGATTCATCATCATCATCATCATCATCATCATCATCAAGTTCTTTCTCCAGCCTCAGATGATCTTTCTTGATGAGTCCCTCCATGTGGGACTGAAACGGTTCTCCACACTGGCCTTGTTTGCATCAGCAGATCCAACTGTTCTGGCCATGTCAGCAATGGCATGCCTTGAATTGTGTCTCCAGCATGCTTTCCAGTTTCTCCATAATCTGCATTCTGATTTGTGTGATCTTAATACTTGTCATTCTCATTATACTTATTACAGCCTTCCTTAATTTTCTCAGCTTGTTTGCTTATGGATCTTAAAGTTCATTCAAGGATTCCCATGGCATTGGTTATGTCAATCTTGCATTCTTCATGTTCATAACTGTTAATCACGTTTTCTTAAGGGTATCAGATTTCCTTCGTTTCTTGCCATTGGTAGTATTTCACTCACTGTTTCTACACTTGCGCATATTGATGCGTTTTAACATTTAAGTTTATGGGTTAAGAAGTTAAGAAGACACAATGTTATTTGAGGTGATATGCTACTTACAACTGCAGAGAGATTGAGATGACTGACCATGCCTAAGCGAGTATGCACATGCATGTTAAGTTTTTGTGCATGCACATAACAGTATTGTTACATAATGGCTGAAAACTGGAATAGTCGAAAAAAAAGTGATAGCCAATGCTACACAGCAGCGCGGTAAACACAGTGATGAATACTCATGCAACAATGGAGGAATCTTTGGAAGTGGTATTTTCTATGCCATCCACGCCCAGAGCACAGAACTAGAGGAACCTTCATCATTAGAAGCCACTACCAAGCAATGCGTAATGAAGACATAACATATTGAGAAGTGATTTGTAGTGTGTTTAGATTGCTGAGTGTGTTATAATTATTTTTAATTACAAATCACAAGCATTCAGTAAATCCAATTATAAATTCAAACCCTGTGTCTAGTCACAAATACATAACAATATTTATTGTAGTTCTGAAATCGCCTAACGTGAGATTGTGTGTAACGAGGGATACCTATAAGTTAGGATAGATCTTAATGAAATAGGACAAGACTGGTGCAGAATAGGGTTCAGTGGTGGGTTCCTGTGAACAGTTTAATGAATGGAATGAATGAAATGCATGACCACCTACATAGTTAACTTACCAAGAAGAACTGCACTCCATAGAGAAATTCTGATGAACACATTTATGATGTAATAATTTTTAAATTTCATTCCCCTGTATTGCCACATTTTTTCAACCCTTGTATATACAGTAAAACTTGGTTATAGCAACATCGGTTTCTGCGACACCTTGTCTATTGCGTCAAATATTCAATGGTACGAACTAATTCCTCATAAAGCAACTGTTTTTATACCTTGCTTAGTACAACATGCACAAATGCATCAACCTCGTATGTAACGTCATTTTCATTCCTGAATTTCTCTGATATCGTGGGAAAGTTCGATGTGTCTGCCCACCCTCACTTTCTCTACTTGCTGACGTGACTGTCCTGGAAGAATACGACCGCGGGCTGCAAGAGGAGCGTGGGTTTTATGCGAAAACAAGGGTGTGGGGTGGGACTGCGTGAATAGTGCAAGAGGACGCGGCAGGTTGTTAACTGCATTCCTTTCCTAGAATCTCGTCTAACAGGACCTCACATTGTCTACTTACCCTATAGTGTTCCTGCCTAAACCCAGAGAAGTGCAGTAGCGAAAACATGGCAATGAAAAGGAAAGTTTTAAGCATTGAAGAGAAAGTTAAAGTGATTCGTGAAATATTGTGTGTATTGTCAGTGAAAAGCGCTGTAATATGTCTTTGATATTACACATTTGGGCAATTCCACGTTAATGTTATGTTAGTCTGTACTTAACTACGTATTTCACTAAAAAATGCAACATTTTAACTCGGTTTTTGGTAGTTTTACGTGACTAACATAAGGCTACTGTGGAAGTGCCCATTTCATTTATAACGACACTATTTTTAGGTCCCTTTGATGACGTTATAACCAAGTTCTACTGTATTATAAATTAGATTGTGGAAGGACACTTACTGACAGAAGGAATGTAAGATTACTTTATATTTAAAAAGAAATATGTGGACTCTGGAAAGGAAAGTAAGTTAAATAAGTGTCATCACAGTAACCTCACTGCCCTTCGTCTCTTTGGTGTGGATGATGTTAACGCAAGGAAAATACAGTTAAATATTTTCTGTTGTTTATTGTGATGTGTTCCAGGAAGGCAGACTTTTTTAAGTGTCTGTCACATGTTGTAACATTAGTTACAAGTATTTTATGTATAAAATTGCTTGTCATTAAAGCTTACTCTCTGTTACAGCCCTAAAAGAATTGTCCTTGTCAAATAAGGAGTCCCAGGTTCCTGCTCCAAATTTGAAAGATGAAGCAGTCATATCTAGTGTTCCTATCAGTAGCTCTGATGATGATGAGGAAGAGGAGGAGGAAGATGGGATGAATCTACAGGATGAGTCATATGACCCCTTTGATCCTCTGAGCTAAAGGCTGTTTAATCTGGACCATATTACATTCCTTTATTATGACATCTGTTTATGGTGCCACACGCTCACAATTTGTATATCAGAACTTCTTTATGTCTTAATCCTGTATGTATACTGTCAAATAAGTTGTGTTTTTATTAAAAATGATAAAAATATTTGTATGTGTTTTATATTAGCCATATGCAAGAATGACTTTCAGTTCAAAACTAGAATTGGGAAGATTTTTGATAACTGAGATGAGAAGTTTCTCCACTATATTCCAGAGCCATTCCTGTTTGGCCATGGATGGAAAAATGGAGGGAGAAAGAGAGATTTTGATGACAAGTTGATGCATGCTAGCACTGCCAGCCATTTCCATTGTGATGGACTGGTTAGTTTACATGCTACTGCACACAACCAAAGTAGTTACCTGAACATTTTTTGAAGTTCTAAAATATAAATGTTTGAATCACGATTGAGATACTTTTTCTCACTCTCAATTAGAAAATTGATGATGTCCACACGCCTGTTTTATTATCACTTGCAGTATCACAATTACTGCTTCCACTGTATCTCGGCCAAAACTAGAATGCTTTTGGCAGCAGCCTTCTGAAGACTGTATTCTTGCTGTCTTCTTCTATATCGTATGGCGTCTAGGTTCCAACTAACTTGGCAAATGCGTTCAACCCTTTTTATAACCTCGGCCGCTGCTATGCAATGAACCCTCGTTATAACCATGGAGACTTGTCTCCGGGAAGATTTGGCGTTCTCTACACAACGGCTCACTGTTAGAATTACAATACCGCTATTGTTACTTCCTATACAACGGTCTGTTCTAGCGTTTCCATGGAAGTAACCCTTCTGGATTCCAAACATGTGACAATATATATATATCCTGTTTTCCACATTAACTGAACCAATCCTGTGCTCACACCAACAGTTCAAGTCATTACAGTTATATGACATAAACTCCGTCCTAAGTGCAACAATTTATTGTAGTTCTTTCGTCTTCGAGTAGCTACAAAATTAAAAATAATAATGTTGACATCTAATTGCTAGACAATTATGTTCAAGAATCTTCAAAGGGGGAAAATGAAGTTTTGCCTTTGCAGCTGCAGAAAATGCATGAAGGAAAGAGTTTTCCTGGCATAGTAACCTTAAATCCTACAAAGGAAAAATGTGATTGCAGCAGAAGTTGTAAAATTTAAGGTGTGAGGTAGAATGCCCAAGTATGAATATCTGTGCATGATGAAAGTAAAAAAGTTAATCAATTCATTTGTTTTGTTATATATATATATCAGTAATTACTTATGCACTCATCACTATTTAACAGAATACAAAATGTAAACATATAAAGTTGGCATTTCATTATGTGATTCACTGTTAAAACAAAAACAGTATTGTTCCTGTGGAATGACATATGATAAAGTTTATTTACTATTCAGATGTGGTTATAGTGGGCTCATGTTCAACATCTTTACTGATAGAAGGAATGTTTTTACCAACTCTTGAAGCATTTCATCTTTTGCGGCAGGATTATCACTTAAGTCCACTGAGGACAAATGTGTGCAGAGTTGCAGGAACTTAACTTCTTCTGCACTACTGATGATGTTGCTTCGCAGCGACAGGATATGCAATGACATGAGCGTGGGCATCCCACGCAGACTTTCAATGTTATTGTTTTCCAGCTTCAGGACCTATCACCAACAGGTAGCACTAATTAATACCAAAATCATAGGGTTGTTCTAAATTGTCAATAAGATCAGAAAGTAATCTTTAGATTAAAAGTGTAATCACCATTACCATAATAAAGCTCTATTAATATCTGTTCACAGTGCACAGCTGTTCTTAATAAGTTAAAAGAAATCATCTTCCAAAAAGAAACAATTACTATTCAAGTTAGCACATCAATAATACATCTATCTTGTATCTGAGAGGTCCTTAGCTTGAATCTTGGCTGAAATATCTGCTATTCTGTTGTGTTTCTCAGTCTTTCCTGGTGAATACTGGGATAGAAACTTTAAATCGGTCATAAGTACATCATCCCTATAGTTTCCATTCCACTGTACACAATCATCCTATCAACTCTCTTGAAACAAAATCCTGTGCAATTAATACACTGTTATTAAATAAATTAAGAATCAAATATATTAGCTCAGTCAGTAAGGGGACTGCCATGGCTCAATTCATAGCAAGGTCAGGAATTATTATTCCCTTTGCCACCATATCGATTGTTGCTCCTGTGGTCACCCAGCCTCGTACAAGCAAAGAGTGGAGAGGTTTTTCCTTGAGGATAAAGCAGTCACAGCACAGAGCTAACCACTCACCACCAACTACTTCTAAGATTAAGAATGCACAAAACTCTGGATAACAAACTTCCACAAACCTGGCAACACTGAAGAGGGTGAAGCTGAGGTAGTGAGCGGCAGCTCAGATTGTTGTTGCTAAGGTCCACTGTGTGCACATAACTCAGATAATGGCAGTGGTACATGGATGTCAGGTTCAGGCATGACAAGTCAATATTCTGCTTTGACTCACTGTACTTATCAATGGCATATTCCATCTTATATCGGCTCCCTGGAAGCACAGAAACAAAAAGCGAAAACGTCCAAGTATATAACCAATCAGATATGTATGTGTAATTCATAGAAAAATCCGAACTTTTGGTACATGGAGTTGACATATAGATTTGATTCTGTCATACAGTTCCATATGCAGTGTGTATTTATAAAAAAGAGACACTTGAACGCGTGCCTTTAAGATGTAACTTGACTAATCTTTTAAGAAAACATTTGAGTATGAGGTTGGATTTAAATACTGTCAATGGAACAAATCTCACATAGAATTTAACAATCTGAGGACTCCTAGCTGTTTTCCAGTCTACCTCTAGTGCTCACACATACTTTAAAGCAAATCAACGTCTCCCTACAAAACAATGACTCAAACTGGAGTGTAAAAACATACCAAGCAGATTTACATTATTTACAAATTCACCAGCTAATTGATACTGTTACTAAAATACAACCTGTCTTTCTTCATAGCACCTGATCTGTAAATATACAATTTTCTGCTCAAGTGATTTTCAGTGTTTCAGAAGGTGTACAGGATGATATTAACTTTGCTTAGTGGGGGCTGGAGTCCAACTAGGTCCATTCGGCACAGTGGCCACTGATTGGCCCATTGTAGCCTGCCCCGGGTGATTAAGATGATGGAGAATTTGGTGGAATGAAGATTGGCAGGGAAAACCTACGCCAGCACCACTCTGTCCATCACAAATCCCACTTGACGAGACCTGGGATGAAACCCGGGCCGCCGCAGCGGGAAGCCAGCTACTAACCGCTTGAGCAATGGCGCGGCCTTATACAGGATGATATTAGCCATCAAACTCAATAATAAACATTTCTAGAATGTATTCTTCTCTTAATTTTATCATGTGTCTCATTTCTGAATTTTAAATAATTTACAAAAGTAGGAAAGACAAAAATATTCCAAATTTTAGTTTAAAATCTTACACAGTACCTCTTTTATGAATGAAACTGTATTTTCACAAATGGGCAATGTTTCTGACTTTGTATTGGGCATTACCTTGCATTTATTGCCGTGTGACACTATTATGCAAGACATTTTATAATAGTTTAATTTTAATTATACAATATCCTCACATTATTCAAGGAACGTGTTCTTGAAAGTGTGTCCATATGATAAAATTCTGCAATGTGAACCCTGTTTTTCCACCGATTCCCATATTATACAATGAGATGCATTCCTAGGGAAACATTTTTTTTGTACGTGGTTGCAACAAAACTTTTTTTTTTCATTATAAATAAGAGTGGGTACACAAAAATAAATTTACAGAAACTTAAAAAATTTAAAACTTGGCTCACCATAAATTTTGAGAGGTAGTAATCACGCAGACAGCCATCCCACTGTCATGCCAATAACTACTGACTAGCCTAGCATGTGCATAGGTTAGTCAGTTGTCAATTATCTCCAGCTGTCACAGACACATATACATAAAGAGATTTGATTTCTTAATAATCATATCTTAAAAAAGAATTAATTTGGACTAAATTTGTTGGTATTTTCCACTTTATGTGTAAAAAAATATTATTTATCCATAAGGGTGAGTAAGTTCCATATCATGAATTGTATGGTCAGGTTCCATGATTCCTGCAATCCAAAAATCCGTAATGCAAGTGCACACTATACTTGATTTTCAAAGTCTGCTGTCATTGGCAATATTTGATATTAAAAATATACCCCAAATAAAACATGATCTGAAGATGTAAATTACACTGAAATATCTAAACAGTGTTCAGTATTTGCCTTCTGCAATCACACAGATCTAACTTTGGAATCCAGATCAATGGAATATTCTTAAATGGTTGAATAACTACTGACCTTCCATAATTATGTTAGATAAGTTTTGGCATAATTAACAGGTGTTTAATTTTGTATATTTTTAAACATTACTCTGAGAGTTAAACTGTACAAATGGAACATAGAGGACATTAGAACCGCACACAATGTTATTCAGAAAACTTCATGACAAGAAACAGACAGAAATAGGTTATGAAGGTTGGAATGACTTCAACTGGGTCAAGAAAGGGTCCAGTGGCAAACTCTTGCAACACAGTAATAAACTTTCATGTTTCATAAAAGACAGAACATTTCTTGACCAGCTGACTATCAGCTTCTCGAGAGGAGCTCTGCTCCACAGTTTCTTAGTTATCAATGGTGTACATGCACTAACACAGGTCCCTGAAGTAGCCACTACGATGAGGATCCACACGAATAAGTTGGCTCAGTTTAGAAAATGTGTCATCCTGGTACTTTTGCCTGTCAATAGCTTGCATTAGCAGCACAGATGTCAGCAGCGTCCCTGCAACAAAATGCCAACTTCATAACTGATTACTGCGGATAACTGTTCCCTCTTGCTCTCACAAAACAAGTTAAAGCTAGTTTCCACTTCTTTTCTAAACATACTTCAAGGATTCATTTTATTGGTAGTTCTGAACACAGTGCAAGCTCAATAATCCAAACTAATTAAAGCATTAGGGTATTTGATCATCAAATCATTTGGATTACTGGAATTAAAATAAAAAATGTGAATCTTTTAGTTTAGATCTTAGAAAAACAGGGTCTGAAGATGCGGACTGATCCATCTGACACCAGTGCGATCCAACAGCAGGATTTGGAAAAAAAGATGATGAATCACTGGGTTCTACAAAAGCATCTACCATATTCACAGTAGTATCTTTAGGAAACATACAGAGGTGGGGCCCATGCCAAGAGGCTATACTTTGTCCCTCTGAGAGGGCACCAGAGCTGCCTCATGTTCACCGGACCTAGAATCACCTCTTGCACTCACATTTGCTGTCTGGTTCCAAGTCAAGAAGTTTCATGCAGGAGTCAAGTTCATCCTGTAGAACTGAAGTGATGCCCTCACTGAACCCAGCACTGAACTGTGGCTTGACGCTGGCTTGAAGATCTTCTGATTTAAATGACAAATAATGTACAAGAGCAGTTCCCCTGTATAAGGACACGACTACAGTTGATTTGTCTCCTAGAAACAGCTCCTTTGGTAGAGAGGAAATCTGCCATTTGTTAAGGTAGTATCAAATCAAAGACCATGTAAACTGCACCCATGGCCAATAAAGAAATAAACTTCACATAACTGGATATGTATTGGTAACAGTTTTTCTCCTTTTACTTCTCATGAGAACCTGTCTACTTTTAGTTACCAAGTACTTAATACATTATTTTGTTGGGTTCCCCTGTCACACTGATGTCTAAAGAAATAAAATCCCAACCTAGAAGAAAGCAACTAAATAATACAGTTTCCAAATATACTTCAGATACAGTATCTTCATGCAGGTTTCTGTTTTCTAAAAGTTTTATGAATTGGTGGATATTTATGAATGATGGGAAGGATTTGGAAGTGGTCATAGCTATTTTCAGATTCCACCATTTTATCTGGAGCAACTAAGGGAAGTCATTAAAAACATTTGGACTAGAATACAACCAGCGCCTCCTAAATATGTGCAGGAGTATTGGTCATTCAGCTATAACACATTCAGTATCTTATACCTGTGTATCAGCTATTGCCTTTCAGCATCAACTAATGCTGTTTTCATATACTCTGCTATTTAATTTTTCACTGTTTATACATAGCTGCAAGCAGAAGCTAAAATCTACAAACATTAAACTTTATCATGTCACCTTTTTACGCTTTTTCCAGTGTACAGTCTTACTTCTGTGTGTAACTCCTTCTGAGCTGTTAACCCTTTACCTTCTAATGTTGACACCAAAGCTGCACACAACATCCACAGTTCTCCATTGCAACTGAAGGACCACCGATGACATTTTTAAGATCAGTGATAGGAGCCGTATTATCAGATTGAAACAGACATGGAAGTATAAGAAAAGGGCTACATTCAAATGATGACAATGATTGCTGTTATGATGGACAAAATTAGCAAAACCATGTCCAAAGCAAACTCTAACCACAGACAGCAAGGAAGGACACATAGGATATTTCTGCAAAACATAAAGATTTAAATTATGAACTTAATAATTAAGGTAAGGAAGTATTGCAGATAATCCATTCATACTATTTGCTGCTATAGCATAGCATATTTCCACATAGCAATTTAACCTGGTCACTATCATAAGAATACTAGGATTCATAAATCTAAAAGTAACAGTAGGACAAGCAACTACAAAATTACACATATAACACAAAATGGTGATGCATGACTGCACTCTTCTTCTTGTTTCAACATTTTAAATTTTATGTGACATGTCTAACTAAACCTAAGACAGGCTCATTAGAATGCCAGGTATTCCCACTGAACTGGTAAAAGGATACCCAGACGTGGGAGTACTGCTGACCATTGGTGCTCTTCCAAGTAGTACGAAAATTCTGCCCTTCCACTGTTATTTCCAAATGCATCTCAGAGTTATTACCAGTAAAGGTGATGCTATGATTCAGTGAGGCACAGACTAGGTCACGGAAAATGTGAACCTGGGATAGCATGAGTGGCTGCAAGGTGCGTCCAAGCAACCATCGCTGGTAGAACCATGGACTCTGATCATTTGGGTCAGTAAAGGCAGCATTCTGAACAAGCTCCAATTCTGTAGTGTGAAACAAGAGAAGAGATAGGTATGAGGCACATTTCCATTGCGGGAGTTTACCTGAATATCTGATGAAAGTTGTTCCACAAAGTAGAGAGAATAATAATAATAGGCATGCAAATGGAAAACAAGATTAAAAAAGACATACATATTCCACATATTCATCATCATAACAATGGCAATAATTACTTTATGTATTCAAAGTTTCATATGGTTGCAAAACTTGGTTTCTTGCCCTTAGATTATGTGTAGTGTGTTATGTTCCCACACATGATACTATACATAATCTGTTCAAAAAGTTTCAAAACTTTTCAAATAGCTCACCAACTCAACATCTTAGCAATGTTGGATAAGTTGTGCTGCTTAGTGGTGTGCTTCCTAATGATCATTCTTTTTGCCGCGTCATCCCCATAGAGCTATTTGTTCACGTGCATGTAGAGTGTGTCTTGCGATATTTGAGATGGCTGATATTCATAAGCAGCATATTAATATTAAATTTTGCTTCAAACTTGGGTAAACATTTACAGAGACTCATGAAATAATGAAAACTCTTATGGTGATCAGTGCATGAGATGTACACATTGTTATGAATGGTTTAAGTGATTTAAGGATGGTTGGCAGTCAACACATGATGAGCCGCATTTGGGATGGCCCTCAACGTCATGTGACAATGCTCACATTGCACAAGTTTGTGAAATCGTGCGTTCCAATCGTCGTTCAACAGTACGGGAAATAGTAGAAGAGTGCAAGATATCGATATGATCAAATCAAGAAATTCTTACAAAAAATTAGAAATGCATCTGGTAATTTCAAAGTTCATCCCACAACATCTGACAGCATCAGAGACAGTTGCATTGTCATCTGTCAGGAACTTCTGGATTGCGTTCGCGAGCATGAAACCTTTCTGAAAGGAATTATAACCAGCAATGAAACATGGGTTTATGGATACCATGTGGAAATGCAATTGCAGTCTTCACAATGGGTTGCAAAAAAATTCGCAGAGACCAAAACAGGCACAGCAGGTCGGGTTGAACGCGGAAGTCATGTTGACGGTTTTTTCTTGACATTGAGAGTATTGTGCATCATGAATTCTTATGTCAGGGGCAAACAGTGAATCACTGGTACTATCTTGAAGTGCTGAAAAGTCTAAGAGAAAATGTCAGGAGAAAAGACTTCAGTTGTGGAAAAACAACTTCTGGTTCCTCCATCATGACACTGTGCCAGCTCATGCATTGCTACTGATTCATGACTTTTTGGCCAATATGAACACAACTGTGCTTCCTAAGCCACCCTACTCATCTGACTGGCGCCAGCAGACTCTTTCTTAATCCCCAAACTGAAATCCACTTTGAAAGGATGATTTTGGATGATTCAAGAGATTATGGAAAATTCACAGAGCTATGTGCGATCCTGAAGAAGACATACCAGGACTGTTTCCAGAAGTCGCAATGGCACTGGGAGCAGTGCATCAATGTAGGAGGGGAGTACTTTGAAGGTGATGAGGCTCACTCAGTTGCAGGCATGCCCAAAAAATTTAAAACACAGTTCAGAAACTTTTTGAACAGGCCATGTACACTTCCTTATATGAACAAACATGTAGATCAGTGCCAAAGCACATGCCATATCTGTGCTTCCAGGAAATGCAAACTGAAAGTTCAGGTAGGTGACCAAGCTTGTGTCTGCTGCTAGCCACTATCTCGATATCCTTTGTCGTCAATGACAATGTGTGAAATACTAATATCACTGCATGGAGATTTGAAAAATGCATACAAAATTTTAGTTGGAAAACTCAGAAAGCAGAGAGATCTCCTGGAAGACCAAGGAATAAATATAAGGGTATTACCACGATGCTTCTAATAGGAATGTTAAGGTGTCAATTTCATTCATATGGCTCAGAACAGAGCCCAATGGTGAGCTATTGTGAAAGTAATCAATATTTCTTTAAAAATGAAAAAATGTCTTGGCCAATTCCATGACCATCAACTTCTCATGGACTATATTTAAATATTCACCTTCCTTGTGTTTCTTTTCTTCAATGGGTAATTTCCCCATAGGGTCTGGATATATACATGGCAAAAGTCGGCTGCGATAGTGCCATGATGAATAATTTGAAAAGTTGCTCAATATCTTCTGGCTAGAGAATTCAAACTCATCTGCAGCAGGAACTTGTGATCTTTCCACCACAAAACGACGATAATCCCAACAAAGAACTGGAAGATGAATACATTAACTTACTTGGATATCAATCTGTTTCTTGACACGAGCAGACTCTTCCAAGTAATTCTATGTAGCAGTCAAAATTTGTAATGATGTAGCATAATATATAGCAAATTGATCTCATAATGAGCCTCTAGAAAGATTTGTTTATCATATCATGATAGACAATTCAAGTTATATCATTAGTAATTCAAGTTTTGCTGGTCTCTTCACTTAGCTGGAAGCAATTTAAGGAAAGCAGATGATCCTATCTCAACTTCTTTTAGTATTATTGGAGTCTTCCTTCCAAAAATACAGTTTGTAGTGTGATATAAACTTACAGTTTCTCTCATCCAGTTCCAAGAACTTGCTACATAATGCCAATTCCTGCTCCCAAATGGGTACTGGCATATTATCTAGCACCCATCTTCTGTGGTGCCAACCACCATATGACTTAGGATTGGCACGAAAGCATTGTTCAATCAAACGTAGCTCACCCTGCATTTTGTCCTGTATCTCTCCTTCAGTTCTTTGAAAACAGAGAAATATTCATGTAATTACAAATATAGGTACTTGGCCAATTTAAATTTGTTCATAAAATTATAGTAAAAGAGGCAGGCAAGTTTGTTTATTTGGGAAGTAAAATAATTTCAGAAAGAAAAACAAAGATATTAAAAGAACACAAAATACTTTTAAATTTTACCAAATTATAAAAGAAATATTATGGTACATATATCCCATAACAATGCCAAACACAGACGCTTATACAGATACAAAACCAAGGTCCAAGCATTGGATGTGAAATTTCTTAATATTTATGAAAAGAAACTTTTAGGCAGCATCTACACGAGCGCACAAAATGCGTCCGTTGTAGAAATACACAAGAGAGGCGAATGCTACTCTTTTTTCTGGCTCCATTGCAGACAAAAGCTACGCACCACATTCTGCAACTGTGTGGTGTCCTCAGCAATGTCCGTCATAAAGTACGTTCATTACAATGGACGCATTTTGTGCGCTCGTGTAGACGCTGCCTTAATTGATAAAATGTATTTTTTTTTGCAGTTTGATAACCATGTATGTATTTAAAAAACCACATAAGGTTGATAATCAGATCATTTTATTAATCTTATTAGCTTTATTCCCAGTTGCTGTGGAGATGATCCCCGTGCCTTAAATGTATATACACAACAAATGGTAAAGGTAAAGTTGTCCCTGTGCTCAACTACTTAAGCACTACACCATGAAGGTGTATGGGGGAGTGGATGTACACACACACACAGATCCACATTTTCACTTCAGCACTGGTCAGCTTCACGCCCCGGCCGCTTTAACTCCGGAGAAAGAGCCCCCGGTATCCATTGGATAAGAGGTTGGGTGGGTCACAGAGCTGGTCTTGATGATGTGGAGAAGAGAAAAATCTTGACCTTACAAGGACTCGAACTCTGAGTCCTTGGTCATCCAGCCTGTAGCCAGTTGCTATGCCGACTATGCTATCCCGGCTCATAGACACAACAAAAAATTCATCTAATGAAAAATTCACTGCTACAACTTTCAGAATAGCATTGTGTGTCAAAAGAATCACTGACTGCTACTTCAAAGTCTTAAGAAAATTAGTTTACTGCCCTTCAAGATACATAATTTATTCATATTAACTAATTAATTGGCACAAACTTTCTAATTAAAAATGTTATCAGCCCTAATTAACAATAATTATAGTGATCCTTCTTTATACCGCTGATCTACATCCCTGAAATGGAGTAGGACCTCCCGCCTGATGTTCCATAGTGTAGTAATATCAGGATTGGCTGTCAGGAGTTGTGCAGTAATTGCTAGGGCTTCCTCATCATATTCTCCTGCTTGATGCTGAAACAAGTAACACAGACGATAAACCAAATTATAGCACGTTAATATTAATCTTATAAGTCATCATTCATAGTTGCTGCCATTATGAAGTACCTTTGTGAAAGCTCTATCAATACCTAATCGGTATAATTTCGTCTTCTTCTCTCTTTCCTTTCTCTTTGATTCTTGATCTTCTGCACTCCCCTTCGTCTTCACCCTACCATGCTGTAAAAAGTATGAGGAAATAATATACGCCCATATTAACAAAATGTATAGCGCAGTCCGAAAATTCAGTCCAACAAGTCCTACAGTGCAGGAGGAACACCATTTTATTGAATACTGATTTTACTATTTTGGATTTCTGTTTTGGTCTATTATATGACTTGCTTAAATACACAATTTTTCTTATCCTAACCTTCGATTCAACATTAAATAATGCATAAATGAAATTGTTGGAACGATTTTGCAACATTCATTACACTCATATTCAGGTACACATGTATACATGTCGAGGCCTCTCAGTGTTCTGTTAAGGTCTGGCTTCTATTTGCTTCTGAAAAGTAATTTTACACACACATCGCAGGACTTGATGGCTAGTCTTACAACTCAGGCATCGTAATTATCATAGCGATTACAACCCAAATTTTAATTTCTTAACTCTTTATGGCAGTACAAATCCCTCAACTGCCTGCTTCATGTTTCCCTATATATATTAAATTAAATGACAGGGCACAGGACTATCTTATACATGTTTCAGACAATCTTACAATAAAAATTATATTCAAAACACCGTTATAACAACATTTACACCCACCATTTTGAATGTCCTCACTGGTGTAACCCGTGCCCATGTGAGGACCGTGAGGACTGTCAAGCCGGCAAGCCTTTGACCACCCGTGACTGTATTGCTATTCTTCAGTTCACCCGTCTGTATGGTCTGTATGGTAGGTATGGTATGACATTCGTAGATATCTTTTAGATAATCCTTGCATGTAATGACGGAGCCTTAAATAAAGTGTTAAACGTGAACCGAGGATCATTGATTGCCTATTGTNTATTGCTATTCTTCACTTCACCCGTCTGTATGGTAGGTACGGTATGACCGTCTGGAGGGTCTGGAGGTCTGTTGCAGATTGATGTTAAGCGTTAGAAGACTCTGAAGATGACAAGATCGGTGAAGATGGTGAATATCGTGAATATGCTCTAGACAGGCCTTCAATCAGGTGTGTCACGGCTGCAAACAGTATCCGGAAACCCCTGGACGTTTTTAATAAATATACTACTGAGTTACATCATTATCGTGTTTTATGTATTATTTTGTTGCCCAGTATTAAATTTTGGTCTAGTTCTAGTTTTAGTTCTAGCATTAGTCTATCTATTATGTACAATTTTATTGCTCGCCTGTTACAGGCCACTGGCTGTTGGCAAATATCCAAATAAAGGAATTTTTTATTTTTACTATTAATATTATTATTTGGGATTTTACAATTACATCCTTCGCAGTTTCTTGGTAAAATCAGTACTGGCGGCAAATCTCCACAGGATGAATTCCATAATTTTCATCCTCGTGATTCGTTTGTGTAGAAGGTATGATCCTTAGCTAATCTGTCGTAGGAGCAATGGAATCTGTATCTGATTTTTTTTTTTGTAGGTAATGATCGTTTTGAGCAATGGATGTTGTTCGAACAAGCGAAGAACTCCTACACAAACACAGGAAAGAGAGGAAAGAGTTGCAAGGTAAAATTTTGCTTTAATATGAAGTCCCGTTTGTTATTGAAAACAGTCGTGGCAGCATGTGTTATGATTGAAATTTCGTATCACAGCGTTAGGTTAGAATAAAGATTGTGGTCTTATGGGATATGTGACAATGTGTTTTGGTAGACAGGTACCACACTGTATGGCTTCACATTTCATATCATAATCGTGATACCATTGCAAGAACCCCAAAAGCTGTCACCGGTTAAGATAAGGTGATGCTCATTGAAATTACAGGCCCAGAAGTAAGCCCCATGGCCATTAGATTTTCCAGTACTATATATTGATCAGTACATAGGGAGTAGAGCAAGTTAATAGTAAAATGGAAACATGGCACTGCCTTTGATAAATAATTGTGATTGGATAACCTTATAGTTTTGAGTCCAGTGTCATGAGGCTGTAAAATATGGTCATGAATCCCTTGGTACTCTGAACCAAGAAAGATTGTGCTGGCAGGGCCAAGGAGCAGTTTACCCAAACAACCTACTTTGGATTTCAGTGAAACAATACTGGTTCTGATATAGTTAGGTTATGTAAAGTTTTTTTTTTCAGCTCCACAAGTTATGTGATGAATGACAGGTGAATATGTACATTGAATTTGGTTGAAACAACTGAGCTTTCCAATTTTTCCAGTAATGTTTTGTAAGGATACAGTGTACACAAAAACATGAAACATATTAAATGATTATTTCATCCTGGAAGTAAGAATAATTATACATTGTTCTGCTCATTACAGAAGATCCTTTATGATCAGTGTATGTTGCATAATTTTGAACATGCCAGTGAAACCAGAATGCATTTGTTATGTGAAAGATAAATATTAATGAATGACTAAATAAGGGAATTATATGCAACTCAGATAGAGTTTTCTGCCTAGTTACTTCAAAGTAAGCCATCACTGCTTCCACAACTTTTCAAATTCATTATTCAGTAATTCTGTCATTCAACATCGTATAGTCTGAGCTATGACAGCACTGTTATAGAAACCATAAGTAAATAATGATACCAACATTTTCCCTGGTAGTGGAGTGATTTAAGTCCAAGAACTCATAATATAAGACCTCCAGTTGTTTGATCTGATCTAGCTGGTGTTTGGCAACTTGTTTTGTATGTATCAAGGAGGTGGTATTGGTGGACAGAATATTTTTTTTCAACACTATGCTCTTATTTTAGGCAGAAAACTCCTCTTCTAAATGTGATTCCTTTTGTTATGAACTGACTCGTTTATGTCATGTGAATCCAAGGTTACCTAACAGTGGGTTAAACATGTAGAGAGAAATTGTGCACGGGACATAATCACAAAATTTATCAAGTGTGAATCATAATATGTGGTTGTAGAACAAGCAGTGATTAATATGTTGAAGTACTGTATGAATGTATCTGTATATTGTCATGTATTGTATTTTATTGTATGCAGGAAAAATCCAGTTTCTCAAAAAGTCAGTTACAAAAGGGGACAAAAAGAAGAAGAAGGAAGTCACAGAGGAAATTATCCGACTAGAACTGGAATTGGAGAAATTGCAAAATGAAGAGTTACTGCAGTTGGAGCAGGTTGGTTATTTTGCCTTATATAGAAATGTGAAACTCTGAAGACTGTAGATGTGGTCAGAGACCAACTAATTCCACATTTTAAAGGTGGCATAAGTTGGCAGGTATCTGAACTCCTTTCTGCAAATAAGTTGAATTAATAATATTCGTAGCAACTATTTTTTAAAAAAGTTTAAAAAGTTTTAACACCAGGAAGGCTGCTGTGAATGTGAAAGGTTGAACAGTGTGTACATTGTGCATTTCAGACATTATATGTGTATGTATATAATTAACATCTATTGTAATAGTAGTTTCTGAAAATGTATTTATGCCCTCTGAGGATGATCTGTAGGGATCGAAACATGTAAGGGTGATGAGTCTTCAAATGATAAAACCTAGTCACATTAGACAGTGTTATTTTTGTCTTTGTAATGCAACAATGATCTAAAAGATATTCAGTTTTAGTGTGTAAGATGTACTTGCAGTGTCTTAATGACATTTTATGATAATATTTTAAAGTATTAAAGTTACACTTTTAGTGAAAAATATATTTTAGGTGTCTTTATATCATTGTTGCATTATTGAGAGTGTACTTTAATAATAAGAATGATACTCTACCATACTGTTTAAATTCACAATATGTTGATGGTATCACATCAGTTAATTTAAGTGTTCTTACTTATATGCAGTAGGGACACATTCTGGTATGTTAAAGCACTGAAAAGGATTTAAGTAAGAGACTTTTCACTTATTTGACTATTGACATTGTTGTAGGAGGTTGCAGTTTGTGAAGAATGTACTGTTGAGGACAGTGGAACACTGCAGCCTGCTTTACGAGTGAGCAAAGCCCAGAGGAGACGGGACAAAAAAGCCACCCGAGAGAAAGAGAGAGAAGCTATGATAATGGCTCAGGAAATACAGAATATACATGGGCCACGGAATGTTGAGATTCAGAAGATAAAGCAGATGCTGAAAGAACGAAATTTAATGATCCAAGAGATTCCTTCTGATGGTAACTGGTATGGATTAGAAAATTTAATGCATTTTGATTGATAAAACTATAATTTAATCCAATTACAACCAGGTATTTTACAAGATACTAAAATTAAACAGCGTAGATGTGGTAATGAAATGAATCTGAGCAATAGGGGTTGGATTACACTGGCTCAGGAAGGTGTATGTTTGCAAGCTGTTGTGAATATGATAGGCAATGAACCTTCAGGTTTCACAGAAGGCATAACATTTCTTGATCACATGAGCAATTGTAATTTTATCAAGGCTTCTGCTCAGTAAAGTTAGTTGGTAGCAAGGCAAATAACTATCATTATGTACTGCAGAACATTACACTTTCTTGTTGAACTGGATTCTTGAAAGCGAACTTCGTTAATTTTGGTTCTGTAAACACAAAAAATAAAAAAGTTTCTCTTTGGATTTTCATTGCTATGGACTATGAAAATATGTAACATTTGCACCAAAAATAATGTGAGGAATAGTTTAAAGACCTGAAGCCAAAGAAAGTAGCTATAAAATCTGAAGGTAAAATTACTGCAGATTTGTAATTAGGTAAGCAGCCTGATGCATGCTACAAGTCGGCCTAGGATGTGTGGGGATCAGACAGGAGGGTGCTATATGCATGCACAATATGCTCTTCCTTTTCATTCATTCATTCATTTATTTTTCATTCCATGGATCCACAATACAAGTGAGATATAGGACATGTCCGTACAGTGATTATTCTTAAAATTAATAGAGCAAGAACTAAGTACATAAATAAAAAAAAAGTATAAAATACAAATACAAAAACAGAAACAAAATGTGTAGAATCAAATAGATTCCAGTCATATAAAGCATGGCTATATGTCATAGACATATAGCCATTTAAATTTACCCATGTGTTTTGTGTCAGTGATACTGAAGATGTGAAGTTATTTGTCTGATTTTGTTTCCTTGCGTGGGATGTAAGTGGACTGATGTTGTCAGGAAAGAGTGTAGCATTTCATCAGCTTCGCCTGTCTTTCTATGGCAACTTCTCATGGCACACCCATGATGGTAATCTTGAGTTGAGAGTGCTGAAGTGACTGAATATGAGCTTAATGGCTAGATTTGATTCCTTGCCATGGCAGAAATTTTTCCACAATAATGAAGTCCCTGTGGCCCAACTTATTATCCTTTCCAGGGCTCTTTCTCAGAGGTAAAATGTTTGGAATGTGAAAATGACCCTCTCATCTCTGTTATTAATGTTGTAGTCCAATGTCCCTTATATACTTTCATGGTTTGAATAACTTACAACAGATTATTCACTAAAAACTGCACGATACTGTCAAAAGAAACTGTCTGGTGTTTGGTTTCTGAATTTAGATTTGTAATCCAAAAATTGTGTTGCTTAATGGAAAGTGAACAATTTTCCTAAACTTAGCCCCCAGTTTTTTTTAAATGACGTTTTTGTTCTTTATTCTTTTGGATGACATACGAAAGAATTCACTTTGGAACAGAATTCGTTTTCTTATTCTCAATTTTAATTACTTTGCTTACATACAAGAGTGGTTTAAGGTTGACCTGGACTTTATTTTATCCTTCAGAAAAAGAATATATATGCCAGAATCACCAAACTCTGACTCCATTTCAACATATTCTCCTTCTACATGAACACATTTTTTCCTAGCAAGTTACTGATGCCAGTAGCAGAAAAGGTTTTATCCTGTGTAGCACGTTCAGGGCACCACATTTGAGTTCATCATCAGTTTGAAATTTCTGTCCTCTTAGATGCATCAACATTTCTTCATACAAATTAATATTGCAGGAGGCTTAAATCATGCTTGGAAGGAGGGTGGTTCATGATTTCGTATCCTATTATTGTTTCTAATGTCAGCATCAAATTTTCTGTATGTGGATGAGCATTGTCATGCAATAGGATGGTGATCTTTGACAGTTTCCCAGGTCTTCTCTTCCAAATATATTGGTGCACATCATTGTGAACAAAGTTGCTGTAATACTATGCATTAATTGCTACACCCTGTGGAAGATAATCAACATCAGTCAGTCCTTCTGAACCCCAAAACACACTTACCATGAACTTACCAGCTGACAGCTGTGTTGAATTTTTTGAATGGTGGAGAGTCTTGTAGCACCATTCCATAGTAAACCACTGAGTTAGTACTACACCAGTGTCTCATTACAGGTCACTAGGAATGTGTTTCCCTCCAATTTAAACCAGTGCAGGTACTCTGCAGACACAGCAGCACTCTGTGGTGTCTGGTTGAATGATAACATCCTTGGGATCCACCAAGCACATAATTTCTTGAACAGTAAATAAATGTTCATGGATAACTGTCTCGACTTTTATGTCACTGTTGGATGCAAAGTCCCAATGAGGATGATTCTTTCAATTGACCTAATCCTTCCAGCTGCACTATGGCCCTAGGGTTGACCCAGCCTCTAACAGAAATGAGTAGCAGGAATCTTCCTGGGGGGTAAAGGGCGGCTGGTGTGTAAGGCTGACAACCTTACTGCCATCTGTGAGCAGATTGTCTAGACAATGTGGGAACCTCAACATCTCACAATCCTATGGGCCTTCACGGTCTGTTACAGGAATAACTTTACCTTAGGATGCAATATCACGCTGTAATTTGCTGTTTCCCAAAATCAGCTCTTCAACAAAGCAGACATTCACATCATATACAGCTGTTGGCTGAACTTGAGCATGCATAAGTTTGAGACTTCTTTTTGGCCTTCAGAAAATTTATTTTACCAATCATAGATGCTTTCATATGACAGGGTCTCTTCCCCATAGTGTGCATTTAACCTATGAAGAATTTAAGCTGGTTTCATTCTGTCTTTCATTAGGAATTTGATGATGTAGTGCTGTTCTGCATTAAGATTGACAAAGTTTGACAGTAGCTTGTGCTGGCTCTAATGTGCAGATGCAGAGCACATGGCCACCAGCCTGTCATTGAGTGCAGTGTTACCACCACCTGCCCATGAAAGTTTTAATACCTTCAGGAAGAAAACTCCAAGTTAACCTTGAACCATTTTCATATAAGTAACATGAAAACATATTGATGGTGTTTGAAAAATAGGGTAGAACTAAGAGGGAACAAATGACAGGAGGATGGACAAAAATATACAGTGAGGAGTTTTCCTAATTTTAACTCCACCAAATATTATTAGGGTGATAAATCAGAGGAGATGAGGTTGGTGGGATATGGTAGTGTGAATGAGTGAGATGTGAAATGCACACAAAATTATAATAATATCAGAGTGGGTCTAAGAAGAATTGGACTGTGTTCAGCTGAGTCAGAATGGATTCCAATGATGGACATAGGGAACATTCGGATTCCATGAGGTGGTGAATTTGTTGACCAGCTGAGCAACTGTCAAATTCACAAAAAAAGACTCAGATCCATGGAGTTAGTTGATACTAATATCCACCATTACATAATTTTTTTTTAAACTTTAAAGACCCACCTTATCTGATCCTTAAAAATAGTCAAGTAATTACTGATTCCTGCATTTGTGCCGAATTAGTCTAATTTTATTTTTCGTGTTTTTCGTTAACATTCTCTAACTTAGATGTTAAATCGTTTAATTAGATGAACCTTTGTTCCAGTTTGTACTGTGCAGTGGATGACCAGCTTAAACTTCATGGTGATGCTGGCCTGGGTATAGATAAGTTGCGGAAAATGACTAGCCAGTATTTAAAGGAACACAGATCTGATTTCCTCCCATTTCTAAGTAATGTTGATACAGGAGATCTACTTACTGATGAACAGTATGAAGACTACTGCAATGAAGTTGCCAACACATCTGCCTGGGGTGGGGAAGTAGAGGTCAGTTGGTACATCATCTTCATAATACTGAATACATACCCAGCAGGTCCAGCAGTATAACACACACAGTCACAGGAGTGAGACGCAACATAGAGCACAATACACGATAGTGAAAGAGTGCTCCAACAGCAGATGATAGACGTGACTCGCGTAATGAAACACGACGTAAGAATGAAATATGCTGTACAATTTTAATATTTTAACACTTAACATTTATCAGTATATATGATAAATATATATTTTAGTTATTTTAGTATGTATAGACAAGGCATGCAATGAACTAGTTTGTCGTGGATTGGATCAGCACCTGAAGATGGCACATTTGTGCCGAAACATGTAGTGAAAGTGATAAGAGGGGATAGATGAATGTATGCACTAGAAGACGGATAAAATAAATCATGGACTTAAATCAGTGCAACAGGACGCTAAAATATAACATTACTGAATACTTACTTACTTACTTACTTACTCATGGAGCTGAGCCCTTCTGGAAGAGCCGCCAATTCTGCAGCTACTCAAGAATTTCCCAGCATTTTATGGAACCTGAAGGTTCATTACCGTGTTCACAAGAGCCCTCCACTGGTCCCTATCCTGAGCCAGATCAGTCCAATCAATACCATCCCATCCTATCTCTCTAAGATCCATTTTAATATTGTCCACCCACCTACACCTCGGTCTTCCCAGTGGTCTCTTTCCTTGTGGCTTTCCCACCAATATCCTATACACAGTCATCTCCCCCATTCGTGCTACATGCCCTGCCCACCTCATCCTCCTTGACTTGATCATCCTAATTATACTTGGAGAAGAGTATAAGTTACAAAGCTCCTCATTATGCAGTTTTCTCCAGCCTCCTGTCATTTCATCTCTCTTCGGTCCAAATATCATAATACTGAATGGGAAAGAAACTTTTTACCGCCTATGCAAGAAAATGTTTTTTTAGGACCGATAATTGTGCCTCAGCTGTATACTGTCAGGTCTGCGTGCACACATTCAACATACAAATGCACATTCCATACAAATATACAGTGCCACTAAAGTGGTTTATTTTACTGTTTGTTAGTTGTTTTGTTATGCAAGTGTATAATAAATAACATTTTTTTAAATTTTACTGTTGCAATAGTTACGAGCCTTGTCACATGTCCTGAAATGTTGCATTGAAGTAATGCAAGCCATGGGTCCTTCTGTACTGGTTGGTGAGGAGTATCGAGACAAGAGGCAAGCTATTCTCACGTTCCACAGACATATGTATGGTCTTGGAGAACACTACAACTCAGTGAAACCTTATCTAGAAGAAGAAACAGAAGATATTGAAGGTTCATAGGTATGTTGAGAAATATTTTTGTATTTTAGCATTTATTACAATTTTTTCAATGAGTAAGATAACATTTTTAATATTTTTTATGTAACTCATTGTAGAAGGAATGAGAGATTCATTGGCTGATGTGTTAATGATTTGCATATTCCCATAGAGAGTTCATTTCAGTTCCAGAATTATTGGAAGTTTCACATTTAGTTTCCAGTGACTAAATCAGAGCTGTTGCAATTTCTGCTATACTTTATAACTGTAAAGACTATTATACATTTTGAGAAACTAGAAAACAATAATCATTAAAGAATTCTTAAAACTGTAGTAACCATTGTTCTACTTCTGGATGAAATGGAGAAGTGTGTCCAGCTCTGACATCTAGAATGTAGTAAGTGTACAATCTAATCTTCAGACATTACCTGTTCTCCTGTCTGCTGAGTTGCAGTATGTGTATGAAAGAACCTTTCTTTCCTTTATATGTCTGTTTTATTCTCTGCAGAACTTCTATAAAATTTCAGCTATTAAATGAACTGTGCCAGTCATTATTCTTAGAAAGGTACAGTTGTCCCTGTTCCTAAACACCATACAGTCTACTGAACAAGTTAGCTTGAGCACTAATGCTCCTTGTGTGGTTTGAATCATGGCTGGGATACCAGCTATACTGATGAGGTTTTCATGATTTTCTTCAGTTCCTCCAGGCAGATGCTAGGATGTCACCTGAAATTGGGTCATGCCCACTTCCTTATACATCCTTTCCAGTTTATTATTCATTATATTCCAGTAATTCAACACTATTTCATTTTGGCATCTGTAGGGCCATCATTGGTACTCGCATTAAATTACACCAAATGACAGTACAACTTGGCAAGATTGTCGCCTAGTTTTCTTAATAAGAAATTTTCATGTCAAAGCAGGAATAAGTGTTTAAAATTAGTACTTATGAGGCTTGCTTTTCATATACACTTGAAAGTGTATGTGGCCCCAAAGAGTACAAATGGTTGCATCTTTTGTCAGAAATTCTTCTGCCAATTTGAAATTCTGTAATGAGGTTCCTTAGTACTGTGTATCTTGAGTAGTGGATAGTGGTTCATAGTGACCTATGAATACATGATTTTGTAGGATTAAGATGCAACAGTGAGAAGTGCCATGAATAGATCAAACATGTCAACAGATTTTGCACAAGTTATCTGTACCACTGGATCTGTCCTCCAGTAGTCATGCAAATAAGATTCTTTTTCTGGACTTGTATTATAACTGAGAAGTCAGTTTTACTTCCAGAAGATCTACGTCTTTTCATTGAGCATGGACTCGTTTTGTTTTGAAAGGTCTCCTTGTTTTTCCTATATTGATTTGTGCTGCACATCAGCTGATCTCATTGTCAAAAAACTATTCAATAATTGCTGAATCTGAATTTAGTCTTGGGAGGCGAGAAAAGCAGATACTGTGTGTTTACTGAACAAGTACTTTGTTTCCATCCCAACTTCATGTCTGCTATTGTGTTCTGCATTTCCTTATTTGTTCTCTCATTCTCAGTTGCCAAGGAGGAATTCCCTTTATCCATCTAATTGCTGATTCATGGAGATAATGTATAGCGTGTACATTATTTAGGCTGTGTTTGTTAATTATGGAGTCAACACAATTGATAATAAAGTCATAGTGTGAACTTGTCATGGGTTTTGAAATACCCAGTTCACATGGAATACACTACAAGCCAATAAAATGGCTTGATTAAACTGAAACTGGACTTGTCATTCAGACACATCGCTGTCACTCTTGGCTGGTCTTGGAAATATGTTATCACAGGTTGAAAGCAAACTAAAGCTAGATAAATGTGTAGACAACTTGAAGCGTTACTATGAAACTGCAGTTAACTCACTTTAGATGTGATTATATCATGATGTAACAATGTGACCTCTAAACTTAGGGCTGTCACTCAGCAAAATGAATAATGTTGATATTGCAGATAGCTATTTTACTGCAAGTCTGTAAAATTTTGGTTTGCATTACTACTACCCTTTGTTCCTTGGCAAAGGTATCAGGTTCAGAAAGTGGTAGTAGTGTATGTGTGTGTGTGTGTGTGTAAGGGGTGGGCCATAAAATTCTGCCCTACCACTGCGACCTTCAATGATCTATTGTGCTTCCCTTTGGATTAGCCCTTTATTAATCCTACACTTTGAATGAAATGTAGGACTTTATTTAAGTGGTGGTATTAGTGATAGCAGATTTAATGTGTTAAGAATGGTTGTTCAGTGTGATTAATCCAGTTTCTGTTTTGTCAGCAATAGTTATGTGGGTAGACTGTAAGCTTCTCTGCTAGTTAGACAGTGTTCATGTACTTTTTGAGCATACAGCTGATTTCATCACTTCCTCATTTTGCTTTGACTTCACTCCACATGAACATGTTCACTGTATCTGTCCTTCAACTTTCTAATAAGGAAACCTGGGCCCACAGTCTTGGTATCAGCAGTGCCTACTGTCGTTTGAATGACAGAACTATTTTGTTTTTATTTAGTCTTTCTTCTGAAGTGTCCTTTTTAAAGAATCTTGCACAACTTTTGCTTTGAGTACATGGGCAGTTTATTCAGTTTATGGTGCTTCATTATTACCACTTCTTTTGGCTGTTTGAATATTGATAATGTGTTACATGCTTTGCACACATCTCATTTTGGCAATATGAATCCTGTGTACAACTTAAATTGACATCAAACTGATGTCTCAATCAATGAAAATGTTATCAGAATTTTCTGCTGTAATCACTTTGATAGTCTGGTATGAGATATATGTGATGTGGAAGTGCCTGAATTTGGTCTTCAGGGATTTCAGTAGATCATGTCTTATGCCTCCTTATTCATAGTCTATAGCTTAGTTTTCCATCTGATGCCTGAGAAACCTTCATTTCTCAAGAATCAAATTTACCCTACCCCTGGGGTTCTGAAGACCACAGACATTCAGAAATGACATTTTATAGATGCATTTACAGCATGTAGAAAGCTGCTGTACACCATATTGTGTTCTAATGTTTCTTTTTTTAGATGCGTTTTATTCAGTCTTGATGCAATAAAAAATATATAAGCATAATTTTTATCTTCAGAATCAGCAGCACGTATACAGGCCTCATGTCATTGGTCTTGATCATATGGCTTATGAAATGTTAACATAGAAATGACCTCAGACTTATCAAAGCAAGATAATGATTTTGTGAATTGAAACCTAAGTTGTGCTGCTGACTGTGTTACCACAGACAATCTGTTGCTGCAGCCTTACCTGTAAATTACAATGTTGTTATTTGAAGATTCATATGGGGAATAACCGAGATTAATTAAACCCTTTTATTTGGACTGTGAATTGTTAATTGGTGTATGTGTATGCCAAAAGAAATCATCTGAGAAAGACTCTTCAGTTATAAAACTTACTGATTTTTTTGTATTCTGTTGCACTATCTTGTAACTATAGAAATGTACTTAACAAACAGCATAATCTGTAATATAAATTAAGGTAAGTCTGTGTCACAGATGTAAACCTACAGATGTCATGAGATAAGCTATCAGACTTTGAAGAACAGTATGAATTTCACAATTTATTTATTATTTTATGCATTATTATTTTGCTTCCTCTTGTAGTTGGTACCACAGAGGAACAAATGCATTCTTTATAAATTTGGTAGTGTAAAACTTTGTATCAGAGGTCATATACTTGGGACATAGTAAGGCTAGAATCAAACATTGTCTGATAACATGTCATATTTGCTTCTGACAAAATAATGCGAAATATTAAAAGCTAGTTAATACTTCAGGTGTACTAATAAAAAGTTATAAATTACCATTGAAATCACAGTTTCCTTCACAGGACTCACTAAAAAGGATGCATTTCCATTTATTCCGAGTACAGATCTAGGGGGTAAAGTAACTGAAACAGTAGTTTCATAGATGATAAAGCAGAACACTCACTTTTCCTTTCTGTCAACTGAATAATGTTGTATTGGAGAACACATAAAATTACACCTTGGTTATGCTATAACACACTGCACCAGTACAGCTGTTTATTACCATAACATTACTTTGTCTGGTCAGCTTGTAGACAATTTATTAGATAAGTGCCCAGGTCTATTCCTAACAGTATATTTTACATATGCTTATTTCATGATCCAAGACGACTGAACACACCAGTTTTCGTAGTAATGGAACCAGGTCCTTTGTGTATTCCACACGTGCTTGTAACATTATTTGAAAATGTAATTGTATTACAATTTGTACTACTAGTAATAACCTCTCTTGGCATGAAGGTTTTCTTTGTTACACCACCAAATGTAACACTCTTGGTTGCTGTAGTATTTAATCTCAGATCCTGGGCCCTGTTGATAGGAGTAGTGACCTTCTCACCAGTTTTTTTCACAAAAACAATCTGTAACAAAGTTTACAAGAAGAAACATCTGAATTTTGCACATTTTATGCACATGCTGTCAACACTTACTAGTCACTTTTTAAAAAGGAAAGTCACACCTCCATATTCCATTATAAATATTTTGTATTTTTCTCATGCTCATTATGTCCTGACTGACTTCCACCCTGCAGCCTATGCAACTGGTACTGGGGCTCTTTCAAGCTTCAAGATGCAATAATTCACCAGATATGAAATTGTTTTGTTTCATATGTTATTTATAATATCTGGAGAGATTCTCAAAGTGTTCTAAAACTTTTAATTAGTCTTAATATGAACACTGTTTATAGACCTACAAATCCATGTGGTATTCAGTTTTGTCCCAGGTATGAAGCATGTCGTTACAGCAGCATAAATTCTCTCTTGCAGTATAGACTGATTATTTTTTCTCGATAGAGAATGTAGTTCATATATCCCCACATAAAAATACAGTGGTGTAGGATCTGGACTTCTGATGGCAGGTTATTGACATTGGCACACCTCCACTCCACTGATTAGGAAATCTTACCATTCAGAACATGTGGAATCCTACACCTGAAATAGGGTGGTGTCCCAGTTGGAAAACGATCACAGTTTCCTTCTTTATTCTCAGTGTCTTCGTAATTTGTGGGAAAGTAGACAATTTTAAAATGTCAAGATGTTTCCCATCATAGTGTCTTCTGCAAAAAAGAAAGGTCCTACCAATGTTATGTAGAAGTCACCACACGCTCACTTTTGGGGTCTCATGCGCATATTCAAGAAATTTATGTGGCTGTCCTGCTCTGCAGATTCAACACATCACTGATGTCATTTGTTCCAAACACTGACCAGCCTTCTACAGGGACTGTAGAAATGACTGCACTGCTCTCATCCATCGGTACCCTCCACTGGATGGTGCACTCCACTTGACATGATCCACTAGAGAATGCACCTCCAATGGTGTGCTTCTGCCCCTGGTAATCATCAGTCATCCCAACAGGCACTTCCTTGGTGGGGGGGTTAAACAGTGTCCTTGCTCTGCACACTCCAGCTTGGTGACCGGCTTTTGAACCTAGCCCACCAGGGTATTTGCCACCTCCAGGGGGGCTCTCCAGCTGACCCATCACAACATTCTCACATTTAGATGGTACCACCTTACTGTTTCCTCTCATAAGGGGGACAAAAATGGTCATATCCTGAAGCACCATAATGGCACTTCTTCCTCACTCAGCTGTAGCACATGGCACCCCAAACCCACAGACACATTGTAGGCATGCATGACATCCAGCCCACAATCAGCTTGTCATTGATCTCAGTGATGAATACCCAAGTCCTTGGAGGGTGCTGCCCTGGGTCCAGTTCTACCAGCACCTCCTTCAAGACATTGAGTGTCTTTCTAGATGTCTGTAGGACATAAGGCTGCATCAGCTCTAGATGTCTGTAGGACATAAGGCTGCGTCAGCTCTGTCTCTGGCAGCCCTGCCATTATGTCTGATTGGGCAATTATCAAGGATGCCCCCCCCCAGTCACTATTTACAAGGCATGACTTTTCCCCTACATGGCCCTAGACATTTAAGCTAACAGAGCTCCTCTTCGTCAACACACCAAGCGTAACAATAGGGAGTGGAAGTGATAAAATTAATGTGTTGTTCCAACTTTTGCTACTCATTGCTTGGATCCTGGTTGACCTCTTTGCAGGCAGTCCTTCTGGGGACATTCCTTTGAGCAATCTCTCCTAAGATGGCTGATGCCCCCACACTGCCAGCATACAGGTCACTTGGCTGTTAGCAACTGTGGCCCCTCATGTGCTTGCAGCCTTGCTGACAAGCTGACTGCTGTGCTGCAGTCTCTAGCCTCAGGGCCTGGATGAAGGTCTCACTGAGCACCCTTTGACCACACAAGCGGGAGCTCACTTCTTGACCCTGTATCCCATCAACAAATGCAAAGCCTGCCTCCCTCTGGATAAAGTGCTGGGGTAGCCTAACAAAGGCCCAGTGGGCCAACTGCTTGATGGCAACAGGGAATTCTTGCAGAAATGGTATGCTGCAGCCAGATGATTGTCTCCACAGTGGTCCTTAAGTACCTGAACATCTTTATACATTGCTTCTGCAGGGCCAATGTGTAGAATGTCAGCGGTCTGTCCTTGCAGGACAGCAAGTAGGTGTGTAGTCTTCTCCTGGGGTGCCAGTTGATCCTCACCACAGCCTCAAAATGGTGATGGAATATAGTCCTATCCATGTGGGTTACTGTGCTCCCACACCCTCTCTGCCCCATTCGGGCTTTATATTCTGAACTCCCGCTGTGTGGCTTCTACCAGCATCTCTGTCACTTTTATGCCAATTTAGGTCCTCTGGATTTGCATGTCAAGTTTCTCACAGAGGCTTTTCACTTGTTTTGCTGATGGTTTCTTCAAACTCAGTCTGAGACATCTAGAAGTGTCTAATGCATCAAAAGGAAAGTTAAGTCAAAACATGTTGTGAAATAAAGCAGAAAGAAAAGACACCTAGCAGATTTTGATTGAGTTGCACAAGGACAGATAAGAATCAGAACAGTATTCAAGTGAGTTACATATAGCCTGAATGCATGTCGTCCACATACATACCTTCTTTCGCCTAATAGCTGGTTCTGTAGTTGATGAACTGGCTTCTGAATCAGAGCTTCCAAGCCTTGCTTTGACGCTTAGTTTCTTGGCATTTGTAGGGTTTGCTGTGGACAGAAATTAAATTCTTACCCATGTTATGCACATACATGAACACACAAAATCTTGCCAGAAACAAAATTTTTGTTAGCAACAGAATGATACAATACATTTATTTCCTTGGTTGCTGAGGAAGGAAGAGAAACACAAGTTCAGAAAAAAATACAATAATTAATGTTCCAGTATAGCATGACCACTGTGGGAAGGCAGATAACACAATGTGCATCAAAAGTTTTGAACAGCAGTTTTAATGACGCAGAAATGTGTTGCTTGTACAGCGTGGACAGTTGCACAGAACTTGCACTGCATGTTGTGTTGTCACCCACCTAACCACAATGGTCATATTATATGCATGGTGGTAGCCTTTTGGATCATGATCCAATGTAGTCTGCCAGGTGGGTGCCAGCATTTCTGGGAACATGCTGCTTCCATCTTCAAGACAAATATGTTCTAGCCTGAAGATTGGGGCAGTAACAGACAGTATTGGGAGTGCATGGTGTGACAGCCCCAGTATATACAAATCTTCACTGCTGCAGGAACCTAACATCTTAAATATTCCATTAGCTTAATAAACTAGGAAAACAAGAACAATAAAGGCAAATCTAGAATAAGCTCATCAATTGGAATGAATGAAAATCAAAATACCACATCTGCCTAACATAAAACTCACTTCTTGCCTCCAAATTACATATAGCCCACCACTGGACCCAATAGTCAAGCTGTTCCATCCACCACCCATCCCCACAACTGACTAAAAAATCTACTGCATATTACAGTCACACATAGTCAATAATTCTGTCTGATATTTTATAACAGTCTAGCACCAAAAACATATACAAATGTAATAAGGAAAGTTCTGAGGGAGGTTCATTTAGAAAAACATTACAAGCAGGCTAATACAGTGCACATATGCAGACCAAAGAAGAATACATCGTAGTAAATTTTCAGATTACAAAATTAAACACTCACCTTCAAACACAACTCAGAGCCAAAGAGTTATCAAATGGATTAACTGGAAGAAGGAATCAAGGATAACCGCTGAAGAGATTACTGGATAACTAATGCCAGGATGGAAAAACAAGTAGCTAGAGTTCTTTCTTGATCATTTGATGATGTATTTTAAAGGTCTTTCTGATTATTATAAATTTAGCATATATAATCATCAATACAATTCCTCACCCAGAATTCCTGCTGTAGTTTTGTTGGTTCTAATAATCTTCTTAACAACCTTCCCATTATTTGGAGATTCCAGAGTGTGCAGTAAACTCTTGCCTTCTGATAATGAAGCTCCAAGCCTTTCTTGAACTTGTACTATTTTGGATATAAGTCTACCATCCTCTGTTATGTGCTGTCTGGCTGATTCAATATCAGCCTGCATTGTTGGGACTTCAACTGCAAAGAGAAGTAAAGGATAATCCAGCATCAACATACAAATTTTAACTTTGTACTGGAGTCTTTCAAGTGTGTGTCTATAAAAAGAAATTCCTTTTTGCCCCTTCAAACAATTTTATATATTAAGCAGCGTTTTTTAAAAATATTTCTTACTTTTCTGAATGTGCACTTTTTTCACAGTTTTCTTCCGTCGTTCTTGTTTAAACACTCCAGCATAGGGCAATACAGACTCTCTGGAGACTGGAATGTCCTCAAGGTAGGTTTTCCCTTCCAATATATCCTGGTTTGATGTAGAAGACACCTGAGATTTCTCACCGAGGCGTAAGAATACTGATGACTGCTGTAAAGGTATCATTGTGATATACAGGAATAATATTAGGAAATAAAATTTCACATGATCTTATTCTACACTGCTCTTACATTCCTTTAGAGTGCCAAATAGGTACTGGGACATTGATGGCTATGTTATGTAACAAACAAGTTAGGTTTATGTGACAAAAACACATGAAAGATAAGAATATTTCAACATAAGTGCTTGATGAGCCTTCATGCTTACACTTTTTGGGACCTTTGCTCTTTCCATCATCTACTACCCTGAACTCTGACTGGTCTTTATCTTTTACAGATTATCTAGTACTGAATGAGGTGAGTGGTTTTATGGTGAAACAGAAAGAATTTCACATGGCCTATGTGAAGGTACTATCCAAGTTATTCACCTGTAGGGGCTGAAGAAACCCTGTATCCTGACAACAGACCTCAACCTCAGTCAGGTACCTCTTCAATACAATGAGATACACTGCAACATCAGAGTAAAACAATTTCCCAAGCAGTTTGTTCTGCATACTGCTATTTATGGCAAACTTTAGGATAATGTATTTATGTGACAATGAAATGAGTTTCTTTACTTTTATTTTCATTCAGACCTGTAAAACTTTTCAACTGCTACAGAAATACAGATATTTGCTGTTGACAAGTTCAATCATTGTCCATTTGTTTACATTTAAATTGTGTAATGATGTATCTAATTTTTCTATGTAATTAGACCTTTCAATGCATCTGGTCCAACACATTTCAAGACCCCATCATAAAGGATTTTTTAAAATCATTTTTTGCTGGGCCATAAGCTATTCTTGCACTGCTTCTTTCTATGATCAATGATCACCTTGCATGCTACAGTCAGTGGCTGCCCACAACAACATTTTCCTCCTCCCCCTCCTCCTCCTCCTCATCTACCCTCTTTTGAACCTTTCCATCCATTCATAAACTTGCACCTGGCTCCTCCGTTCGTGCCATGCTGAACTGTCATCCTTCGATAAATACCATGACAATCTGAGTGTGTGTGACTATAGATGGGGTTCAGATTGGTGAATGGATTTCTTGGCTACTTTAACACATGCCTCATGACTACGCTTAATCATAGCACCATCGCTGATTTCCACACTTTACAGATCACTAGATAATATGCTAAGTCTTCACAGTCTGCTTTCACTAGTCATTTCCAGGTAATGGATTTTAATAGAGATTCTTCTGCTTCTACACTCATGTCATTCCCCACTGGCTAACACTCCACAACTGAATTGTCAACTTAGTTATAGCAGCATCTCGTCTCAGCTTCCCTTGCAGAACTAAACTCTCAGATTGCCTGGTCACCCCTCCTTGGCATGGACCACATAGAAAACACTGTTCTTCTATTGTTGCAGGCATATTCATTGCTGCGAGGATGTGTTTACTGAGCTGTTGCCCAGAAACGGCCATTGTTTATTCACTACAATATTACTAGTTTCCACAACCTGTGACCACAAGAACTGGATGACAAATCATTGTTTGCTTTAGTACTTTCTATCATTGCAGCACCCATGCTAAATGTATGACAGTATTGTGGCATGTAGACCTGTTGCTAGGCAACGACCATGAAATAAGCAGCTGTACAATGGCTGTTGCTATGAAATGGCCAAAACAGATTTGTAACATGCACCAATGAACTAACTGGGAACTGCTGTTCTCTATGCAGTCCATGCAATAGCTACATGATGCAACAACAGAACTGCTGGGAAAGGCATTTTCTGTGCAGTCCATGCCAAAGCATTGTAAGCAGGAAAAGTCTAGAGTTTAGTTAGATGTGAGGCAGTCGCCGGCCAGTAAGGGCATGAACAAGGAAGCTGAAGAAGCTATGGCTTTGGAAACCATTACCAGGCAACAACCGGTGAAGATACAGCAGGCTGAAAAGACATAGTGCATGCTGTAGTGAATGGTAGAGTATGTGAATTAGCAACAGCGCTATGGTTACTTTTAGTTACAATCTGTAAGTGTTCCTTCCTGTTTGTTCACTGGTTAAGTCTGCTATAGACATATTTACTTAATCTTACGAGAGAAAGTTCTGCTGTGTTCATGTGTACAATGTCATTATGTCACTTTACTCTCATTCTCATACATTTATAATCTTGTAGGCACGTTATGACATTGTATGAGCAACCTCCTTCTTGGTAGTCAACAATAACTTGCCTGAAAAATCTGTTTCGCAAAATGAAGATCTGATGATGACTGCCCAGGTAAGCCACATTAAAGACAATTATCAGGTTGGCAAAAATTTCCACCAAATCTAACAACCACATCCAAAAATTAGGAGCCAGAATATAGATCAAAATACCTTAGGTTGGATATTTGCTCATTTCTGTTAATGAAAGGACAACTGAAATATCTACATATAAATAATAACCGATTCTTTCCATGCTTGGGGAAGACACAAAATCCCAACTATCTTCTGACATTCCTAGGATACAAGGAAATAAACGACAATAGGATAGGCAGAAATGATGAGAAAGGAGGGAAGAAGATACTATGGTAGAAGAATGGAAAAATAGGGGAGATGGAGGAAAGGAATGAAAATGGGACAAACATACAAGCAGGGGATAAAAGGAAGAAAACCTTAGAGTATCTTGCCCACCATTTTCAAGGGGCCATAAGCTGGTAGTAATATAACAGAAAACAAATTGAAACACCATCATGAAAATTTTGGCACCATGGTGAAATGTGCAGGCCTGACCAATATGACATTTATATTGCTTCTCAGTACAGATCTGGTGAAGAGAATTCTTGGTGAAACAATCTGTCAGCTGTACAGTACTCTCACTTCTATGCCTGTACCTTTGTAAATGACAATGACATACAATTCTAAATAGTTTGCAGGTGCTGATCAGTGTCATAAATAAACTGACAGTGGAGTCATTTTTGTCTTGAAAACTATAATCCTTAGAGAAGAGCTTGAATTGGTACGTAAATCTTGCACTGTCTTTATAGCAATAACAAAGAAATTGTAAGGATAATGAGTCAGAAGCTTTGACAACTACCGGTTACCTTCTCTGGCATGCTGCTGGCAGGTTTCACAATATTTAATCCCAATCCAGTAATAGTAATGCTTGGGCCTTCACTTTCCGTAGTGCTTGTAACAGAGCCATCCCCCAGCCTGTCAAACACTGTCTTTTTTTTCTGAGTCACTGCAATAACAAACAACTATGAATTATGTGTATAGTGAAAACACTCAAGACTGTATCATTCCTTCTACATTGGTACTTACACAGTCCCTGCTTGGCTAATATCTTCTGTGTTCGAGGGGTTGATCCAGATGGCATCGTGATTTTGTAGCGACCTTCATGTTCTGGAAGTACACGCCGCACTTTCTTCAAAGGTGGTGCTTGTACTTCTTGCTCAGATTTTGTTTTCAATGTCTGCTTCTTTGCCTTGAAAAGTGAAGTACTTGGAATGCTAGTCTTCTGTTTTTCTAATGACACTGCTGTAACATGGTAAAACATATTGTTAATTCCTCTCTTTATAATGACAGTATGCTTTAACCATGTTTTGAATAAAATCACATACATGTGCTAACATGAATCACCGCTTTTCATGGACTCTCTTAATGAACATATCTGTGGTCTACTCAACAGGTCATCAACCATATAGTTCTTCTTATGTGGCTTTGAAACACAAATCTTTGAATTGCATACAGGAATTTTAATATAAGATGTTATTTTATATGTGAGACTGCTTTACAAAAAGCTTCTAAACAATTTTCAAAAATTTCTAAAATTAAGTATGATAATGGAAAATAACCTTGAGCTAGTTTCTTTTGAATTACTAAGTATGTATTCCTGAGGATGACACTAGAAATATACTACCATAGTCAATAAGTTCGTGGACTGGCCGCAAAGCGTCGTTGCAGTGCACTACAACGGATAGGTTGAGGCACGATATGATGCCCTGTCGATTCATCTCTCATAACAGCAAGAGGCAGGTGTGGACATACAGTGAAAGCAGAACTATGGCCTCTATTGTGAACTGCAGTTAAATGCAAGTGGCAGAAATCGAAAATGTGGCAGTTTCAACAACACACAAACATCAAGTTCTGCCAAAAACTAGGCAAATCCCCTAGCAAAACATTTGGCGTAGGAAACATTTGGTTACTGCTACACGACAACACCCCTGCACATCACTCTGTTCTTGTCAAAGAGGAAATGACAAGGCAACAGGTCGTTTTGCCACACCCTCTGTACTCGCCTGAGCTCACACCATGTGATTTCTTTCTCTTTCACTGCTTGAGTGCAAAGCTACGTGGTCGCAGATTTCAGTCATCCAAGGAGGTCGTCAATGCCACAAGAGACACCATACGGTAATTTCCTGCCAATATGTTTCAGCAATGTTTTCGGCAGCTATATAAACGTTGGCACACTTGCATAGCAGCCAACGGCAACTAGTTTGAGGGCTGATGTGGATCTGTGTAAGTAATATGATGTGATAAAACCACAGTCCACGAACTTAATGACAGTACCACGTATATACACGTCAGGACAGTGCTGAATTCAAACAATTTTCAAGAATTTTGTTCTAATTGACTCACTGATGATAATGCTATGGATTACAACAGTGCACAGCCCAACATAAACATATGAGATGGAGTTGTTGGTCTGTCAGGTGTCGGAGAATATTTAACTGGACTAACTGGACTTTTGGGATGGGAAGGTATGGACTGAACAGGAACCCAGTGTTCGGCTCTAGTAAACATGTTAATGAGCCACTGGATACCATAAAATATTCAGAATTTCTTTATTAGCCAAGCAACTATTAGCCTCTTAAGGACTCTACTCCATGCAGTTAGTTAAGCACATAAGGACTGATTATCCTCTGCATTGAAACCGGTTGCCCACCCAGCTGGCAAATCTTCAGGAAATTGCACATCACAATGTAATAACACAAACTGAGTGAGCAGTAGAATATGAGGAAATAGCTTTGGAGGCCTTTCTTGTGATGGGATTGTCTGATGGGTGGATCAACTCTATGCTGGAAAACTGGAACATATTAACCACGCTAGAAGAAACTCTTCCAGTCTAGAAAACTGAGATTAGCAGCCATGGGAATCCGTTGGGCTGGCCACGCGACACCCTCTATCTGCAAAAGTTGGCACTAACTTCGCCGACAAATAGCAGTTGCTCAGTCAGTATAGTTCACTTGTGGACTAAAGGCCACAGAACAAGGAGAAACTCTCAAAGTGCTCAGCCAGAAAATATCTATAGAGGATGGGGTCTGTTGCCTATGCTGTGGAGCCCTCAGACTGTCTTTGAGGCAGTATGAACAGCTCTGAATTGAGCAGTGGTATAGTAAGACACACCTATCAACCCTAACAAAATGGCACTAATATAAAAGACTTGAAGGCACCACATCTCTTCACAAGAGATATAGTCTAATCATGACCAAAGGACTGTCATGGAAGACACAGCTAAAAAAAGACCATAAATACAGCCTACACAGTATTTTTGGCCTATAGGGGTCCTGTGGAAAGAAACAGGATATACATCACAGCAATAAGCCTTATGGTTACCTATGCCACCACAGTGTGATGGCCTAGAGTCAAATTCAACAAAACTAGTGGGGCTGAACTCAGCAAACTGCAGAAAATGGCCCACCTCGGTACAACTGGAACCATGAGGACAGCTGCAGTTGAGGCTGTCCTAGGCCTGCCTCCATTATATGAAAAGATGAAGAAAGCTCAGGCAGGAATTTATGGGCTTAGCTATGATGAAGGGTGCAAACCAAAATCTATATGGTATGGACATTTTAGTATTTTATGACTCTGGGGGAATAACCCTTTAACGTGACACCTGTTTTTGCTGATTTCTTGCTTGGCTTCCCCTTTGATCATGAAGACAAGGTGATATATTCCTCCAAAATGTCAGGCTGTTCCTGAACTATGTAAAGTTACAACCCAGAAGGCTGTTATCTTCTTAATTTAATTTATTAAGGTACAGTTCCTTGAAACAAGCCATGAACACTTCCATCCATATCCTTTCATAACCATCCTACTGTTCAACTCTGTATAAACCATCCAGTTAACAAATCACTGTTAAATAAACCCATAATATATAATCTATCCCTGGTCTCACTTTGAGTCATTCCACTGTCATTTCTAGGATTACAGAACAATCAAAAAGCTAGGAAATATACACAGAATGAGTAGGCTAACTTATCATGCTGTGTACCTGTATCATCAACATCACCATCACCACCCCCACTACCACTGCCTCCACCATCACTTGAATTTGTGTCTGTCTTTCTCATGTAATGGTCCAACATTCTGGAAGCAGCTATAAATTAAGAAATTTATGTCACAATTTCATCATCATTTTGGCATAGTGTATAAAGGACATAAGAAGATCCTGCATATTTTGATTAACGGTAAATAAAAAGTAGCAATGAAGTGAATTAGAATTATTAACAGGTAATGATTTCTATATAAATGCCAATAACTCTGATGATACTGATGGTACACTGGTAGGTTACTAACCAAATGATGAATCCAATGTCAAGATGTAGACTGGTTATGTCTTAGTAAAGTTCATCTACTCCATGGACCAGGGTATGTCATACCTTGTGTAGGCAATTTTACAGAAGAGAAGTCCTGTGCCAGTATGTCTCACCTTCCCACTGGAGTATAAATATCAAAGCATGCTGAACATATATCTATGAACTTTCTAATGGTGATGCAACATTCTACGTGACTGAATGATGATGACAGACCCTTGATCCCAGAGTAAATGAAATTGTAAAATTCAATTAAAAACCTGTTAAAAGCTAAACGTGAGGTAGACAATGTGCAAAAATTAAAGTTTCCATACCAAGTTTAATTCTTCCTCCTTTAGAGTGATATGTTTTATACATAGTACAGACAGCACTTAATTCACTTCCCAATTCCCCTTAGTTTTTTCTTTGTGGTTTATTTCATGTCACCATCAGTATCTCAAGACTACAGAGCATTCACTGGTATCATCAGTGGTGAATAATACATTGAAAATGATTTGGAAGGAAGCAGTTGTGACCTAATTAAGATACTATGCAGGAATATGCCTAGAGGAACTGTGGAAAACCACTAAAAATCTCACTCAGAATGGCCAATGTTCTAGCCAAGATTCAAACCTAGCACCTCCTTAACACAAGGTTAGAGTGTTACTGCTATACCAACGTGCTTGATCAGATCCCCTTAGTATGTAGAGAGAAAAAAGAAAGTTTTCTTTAAAAATGAGGGTTCTCTGTCAAAATGGATTTCTACAGAACAATGTGTGGTATGTTTAAATAAAAAATGCACAGCTTTGGAAATCATTATCAGATGTAATAGTGAATAAAGCACTTGGTGCACACCAAATCACTTCAAAATTGGTTTGGAACTGCCACAAATCCCTCATACAACTGGCCAGACATCACAGAGTTCAGCTGATATTGGTGCCAGGTCATGAGGGTATTGTAGGGAATGAAACTGCAGATCAACTGGCAAGAGCAGGATATGAACAGCCGTTCACAGGACCTGAACCAGCTTGCAGCATCTCAATTGGAGTTGCCAAAAAAGCGATCAGGGACTGGACTGATAGAAATTATAAAAAATACTGCGAATCCATAATTGGACTCAAACAGGCAAAGGGTTTTATAGCAGAATCCTCTGTCAGAAGAACGAAGGATCTGTTGAGATTAAACAGAGATCAGCTAAGATGGGTGGTAGGATTACTTACAGGACACTGCCGCCTAAAAGGAGACCTTTTCAAGTTGGGACTGACAGATAACCCAACTTGTGAAAGATGCCTACAAGAAAACGAATCAGCTGCACACATCCTGTGTGACTGTGAGGCCATAGCTTATTTAAGATTTTTTCACTTGGGTCAGTTTTTATGGAACCAAGTGACTTTTATGATCCCCCCATAAGCAGGATCTTACACTTTATTAAAAGTGTAGGATTAATAAAGGGCTGATCCAAGGGGAAGGTCACAGTGCAGGAGCCAGTTTTTATGGCCCTCCCCTTACTTACATACATACATACATAATACTGAATAACAACTTGGACAGATGGAGATCTGTGCCTGTTAGTGATGATTTTAGTAAATATAATAGAAACATATCAAATCACTTACGAGTTGATTTTTGTGGCAGTGGTGCATTGGCTGAAGTTCCAAGTATTTTATCTCGAACATTCTGAAAAGAATATTTAAAATGAATATAAATCTGCTTTATACAGTAGAGTATCTGAAAACAATACACTTACAAGCAACTGTTGCTTTACTTGGTAAGTGAACAAATATTGTGTGAAGCACTGCTTCATAAAACTTCAAAATAAGTAAACAGGAAGTGGATGACAATACAGTACATATATACCATTCAGAAAATACAGGCTGTATTTACAACATGGCCCTGTGTTGTGCATGATGAGAAGTAAAAGCTAAGTTGTGTGGTGCCAGGGAGGGTGACATACACTAACCAAAGCCCTGTTATAACCTATACCAATCCTTATCTCGGTAGATTTGACCAAATCCACTGTACATTATGTGGAAAACAGCTATGTGATTTGTTATTTGCTATGTCTTCATCAGTCATTGCCTGGTAATGTCTCCCAACAGTGGTGACTGTTTCACAGGTAGCCCATGATCGCAACTGATACCAGTGCCCTCAACTCTCAAGTGAGTGATGGCTGTTTGGTCAGTTAAATTGCTGCTGGTCATCACCATCACAGTCATTCTTGGCTTCAGATCTTTTTGAAATCTATGACAATTTTTGTTCTCTCCCAGACATGTACATGTTTAACAGTGGAGTCACCTCTTCAATGAGGGAAGGCATTAGCCTTTCTGTCTGTTCCTCATATAACGTTCATATGAACTGCGTACGAAACCTCCACTGTTGTGTGTGTACCTATTGCCAGGGAAATGTTTTTACCCAGCCCTCACCATACAACTGACAATATAATCATGTCAGTGCATCAATAAACAAGCAAAATGTATGAATATTAAGTTGATAGCCTTTATGATCTGCAAGAATGGCATGTTAACGCTGGCTAGAGCTAGTCGATAAGAAAAAGTAAAGAACCAAGAAATCAACCCTGAGGAACCCCCATTTTATATCATGTTTATGATTTTGTTTGTTCAACTTGTTTTCTTTCTTTGGAGCGGCAATTTACCAAGCTGCCCACATCTAAACTATACAGTGTTGAACAGTATGATGATTTACGAATAATGGATTTGAAAGGATTTAGAAGCAAGCAGTCATGGTCTAATACTACTAAAAGTACTAGCCTTGCTGCATTTGCCTGGAAAGAATGAGGAAAGCCATGAGAAAACTTAGTCAGGATAGCTGCAGTCCTGGACAAGATTCAAACCAAGCTCCTCCCAAATATATGTCTAGAGTGTTACTGCTAAACCAACCTGCCTGGTGTCTTGATTTCTTATTTGTCAGTTTGAGAAGATTTTATAATTCAACTCTAAGGATTTTGTTTCTATTTTATGTTTTTTGTCATTAAGGTTTGATTTAAATTAATGTACAGTAATACCTTTTCTCTAAAATACTAGTTTTTATAGTAATAATTCTTGGTTTACACAGTGAAATACTTTAGCAAGATAACATGGTATTCTGTCAATTTCATGTCATCATGAAAAATGTACAAGATTTTGCCCATGAATTAGTACAAGGTTTATTGACTGAGAGACCAAAATATTCTACCACAAAGATATTGTCTAAGTACTATAAATCACTTCCTCTCTTATTTGCAACTTTCAAAATTTTTTAAAGATGCTGTCAGTAATGAAATTTGTCTGTAATTGGAGACACACGATCTTTTATGCAGAGGTTTCAATTTTGAATAGGTAAGTCACTCTGGGAAAGTTTCTGCAGGTACTGATTTATTAACAAAGATGACTCAGAGGAAGACTAACGTAATCTGTGTTTATTTTCAGTAACTTTGTTGATATTACATAACTGCCAAACTCATTTTATGATAACATAAATAATTATATTTCTTATTTTATTTGCTGTTCTGGATAAATGATATATATTTTGATAGTTTCAAGAGACTGCTTCGGCAATACATTTTATCATTGGGTTTTAATGTTGTTAGTGGTGGTGTTGTAAGTACTGAACAAATTTGCAATACGTTTAGGATTGTTTCTCACAATGTTACTGCCTCTTTGTGCTTTCATCCTTTATTTGTAGCATGTCAATAACAAAAAACTACAAGAGCAAGCAAAAATGGTAGTACAAAAATATCATTACACTTTTCTTATTTGACATATCGAAAAAGTCAGCCATTAGGGCTCAAATATGACCTAAAAAATCCAGCAATAGACGTCAAAGTGATATTTTTTTTGGAACACAATTTTGTGGAAGTTACTGCTTACAAATATTGTCGGTACTCTCACAGGTTTACAAAACTGTTTTTGTATATACACATAGATGAAATAAGGACTAATTACCTGTTCATGAACGTGTTTTGCGTGTCGAAGAATACCAATCACATCTCCCATTAGCGTTATACCCATGTCTTTTAAATACTCTTTATTGAGGTCCAGCAACATGTCCATTCGAATACGGTTGTTGGAAAACGTCAGGGCATAAGAAGCTGCTATTCCAGCTGGAATACCAGCATCCGTGAAGAACTTAATCCACGTATCTGGAATACAGTAACGCGCTGCTTTCACTACTAACTTAAAGACTATAAACAAATCATTCAGCAGATGGTGAATTCAATGTTTGTATTCAATTATCACAGTCAGCATCGCAATAACAAACATAACCAAGGTATCTACACCATAGTAATATGTCATGACTTATTGGACGTATGTTTTCGCTTTATGGTTTTGAGTGAATGTATACAGAATTTACAATCTTTCAGTAACATCCTTCAATTCACCTACTTGTGACAGCAGCCATCTTGAATCTCGTATTACAAGCGACCTTATGACCAATGGGGGACAAGAGTTAGTTACAATTTATCAGTTATATTTTCCAGGTTACCAGACATGCCTAATGTCGGTCTGGTTTTCTAAGAACTTTAGGTAAAATAGGAATTTTGAGTACCATAAATATTTATTTGATACAATAATTTTAGCTTATATTATGAGTTTTAATTCTATGACGTATTCGCTGAAATGTCAAATTATGCGTTCTGGTCACGTGGGTTCCCCATTTTAGCCACCGTAAGCACGGTTGCCGGTTAGGAAGCTACCGTAGCGCTATAGGTAACCCTGTAGTAGGGTTTGTACGGTGTGTGAGGTGGTGTGAAGCCCTGCCTCAAATATCTGCCGTGGAAGGGACTTTTCGATCACCGAGAATCAGTAAACTGAATTAACGATGACCGATCACGCTGTGAATAATATAGATCAATATGGGGATGGTTACATGGAACCAGAAGAAGAATGGGAAAGGGAAGGACTACTCGATCCAGCATGGGAGAAACAACAGAAAAAGGTAAGTGGAGAAGGCTGCAAAGGGGTGTAACACATAGTGATGTGTAGAGCCTGATATTTTGTTGACCATTAAAGACAAAGGAATTAATTCACCCCGTTGTTAATAGTGCATGGTTACACATCTGTTCGGCGTCTTGTTTAGTCTAGTTATCATGTACTAATTCGCGGTTCTTTATTCGCTCAGAAACAAATAATATCAGTGTCAGTAATCTCGTCTTCTCAGGTCGAAACTGTAGGGTATTATGATATTGTATAGGACGTTGCAGCTTTTACACGGTCAAGTTCTTAGTCTTCGAAAATTATTATTTTCGACAAACGAATGGCAACCGTGAACCGAAGTCTCTTAAAAAATATGTTACATCGCAAAACTTAGTGGTCAACTGGGACCATGTCGGTAAAAAAATGGGACGAGTGACCACTCAGTTCACAGTGCTAGTAGACAAATACAGGCAGCTGGTTGAAACGGCGGCATTGAAATAGTTTTGTGGGAGCGTTGTCACATTTGCTTGAATGTGGGCAGCTCCCACGGTTTCTTTAGTCAAGTCTTAAATTCCTCTCTCCGACGCGTTTATTTATTACCCGTCAGCTTCATTTAGGGTATTTTAATGACGGAAGAAGTGTGGTAATTTGGTAACTGATCATTGGATTATAGATTCTCATCTTACACTAGGCATTTGATGCTTCACAACTACATAATGATCTTTCGGAGGCCACACAATTTGCGCTGAATGTACAGTAAGCAAAATATTCCTACATAATTTGACTAAGGCCATGTGTTGGTGGACTCTTCTGTGCAATCTTTATGATCTGAAATGTACTGACAGTTTAAATCTGGCCAATTAAAGTTTACTTCCTCAGAACTATAATGAATGAAGCAAATGCATGTGTCATTATTAGTAAAATGGTAAAGTTGTCCCTGTGCTTAACTTATTGAGCAATACACCATGACGACATATGGGGGAGTGTATGTATAGACCCATGTTTTCTTGAACTGGTCACTAGTTGTAGATGAGTGGTCAGCTTCATGCCCCGGATGCTTTACCCCTGGGGAAAGAGCCTCTGGTACTCATTGAATAGGAGGTTAGATGGGCCACAGAGCTGGTGTGAATGACATGGAGAAGTAAAAATTCTTGCCCTGATAGGGACTCAAACTCTGACCCTTTGGTTATCTAGCCCGTAGCCAGTAGCTATACTGATTGAGCTACACTGGCTCCATCAGTGGGTAGAATGAGTACAAGATATCACACCTGAGGGTAGAATTATTTCTTTAGAAAAATATATGACATTGAAAGGTTACCCATTACATAATTCAAGGTTGACATTGTTACAATGTCACCTAGAAGATATGTCTAGTAATGAGCAGCATAGATTTCTAATATCTCCCCTAATTAATGTAATAGATATTAGCAAGTCTGTTTCTACCCATTGTTTCATGAATGTACTTATTCCATAGATTGTAGTTTAGATCAATCTTGTATATAATATCCTTGCAAAAGATACATGCCATTCTTCACTAGGCAGTGAGTGAGTCTGAATTTTAATAGCATGATAGCTTGAACAGTGATGTTCTGTATTCCTGATGCAAGAAACAAGGTTACAGAATGTTTTCAGCTTTGAATGCTGATTGTTTACATGTTTATTTTATACTGGTTCCATATTTATGACTTACATATAATTCTATACCGGAAGACTGCAGTAACACTTGGCGTAGTCTGGAGCAGGGATGGTGAACCATTGCCACCAGTGTCACGTTTGGCACCATTTGAGATTTCAGCTGACACTGTGATTACAGGTTTTAACTTTATTCACATTTTGAACCACATGAGTCAGTAATTCATGAAGTCATAATTCATTTGGGGGGGGGGTGAATATTTGTTGTTACTATATATATTTATATACATATTGAATAGTATGTTTACATAAATAAACAAGAAGACACAATGTTGTATTATGTTTTGGATTATACCTAACTATAACTAAATAACTCAGTATTTGAGACTGTCTCACAAACAGAATGAGTGCCATGTGTACCATTCTCAAATCAGCCACATACAAGCCAGGAATTGAACAACTTAAAAATGTTCAGCAGCAGCTATCTCATTAATGCCACTAGGTGGTGCTGGAGAGGAGCTGGGATAGTGCAGTTGGTATAGCGACTGGCTGTGGGCTTGATGACCAGGAGGTCAGAGTTCAAGTCCTGGGGGGGGGGACAAGAATTTTCTCTCCTAAGTATTATCCACAACAGTTCTGGTGCCCACCCAGTCTTCTATCCAATGTGTACCAGGGACTCTTTCCCCAGGGGTAAAGCGGCCGCAGGGTGAAGCTCACCACACCTTCCACTAGTGCCAAGGTAAAAAAACATGGATTTGTACATCCACTTCCCCACTTTTGGTATCACTCTGGTATAAGATATTAAAAACGTTTGTCATCCCAGGTCTAGAGCATGAAGCAAATATGGGTTTGAAGGTTGAAATAGGATTGTCAAGGTTTAATGCGCATATAGAGTTTCATTGTTATCACTGGAGACATTATAATTGTAGTAAGCTCTCTGTTGATATCATCAGTGTATTCAGAACCACAATGTAAAAGTAGCAGACCTACACACATGCACCTCTGCACAAGGCAATATGAAAACTCTCAACACTTATGTTAATTTAGTGTCATTACCAACTTTGTGGTGTTAACTTGCACTGGAGGAAGAGTTCTTTGCTTCTTTACTGACCTTAGAAGAAAATAGACTTAGTGTCCTTCAAGAGCTGATATGCTTATTTGCCCCACATTTTAATGTTCTTGCTGGTGTTAAGAGGGGTGTGGTGGTTGTGGTGGCAGTGTAGTATTAGTGTTGATAATTTGTGTAGGTTGGGAAGCCATTGGTCATGGTTCAGTCATAGAAAAAACAATCAGGTCATATGTAATAACATGCCATGTTATGAAAATGGCTGTGAAGCTTACAGCCAAGTAGGGATATCATGTCTGGTCATCTCTTAGTATTCACATTTTATTTCTGAAACTACTTAAAATGTTTTATTAAAAGTTGATATTGGTGCAGTCTACATGATAGCGTAGTTGGTTAAGGCACTATGCTGCAAGCTGGAAGGACGCGGGATTGAATCACGATGAGGTCATTGGATTTTTTCAATTGACCTAATCCTTCTAGCCGCACTGTGGCCCTGGGTCAACTCAGCCTCTAACAGAAAAGAGTACCAGGAATATTCTTAGGGGTAAAGGGCAGCCAGCACATAAGGCTGACAACCTTGCCGCCATCTATGAGCCGATTGTGTAGAAAATGTGGGAACCTCAACATCTCACAACCCTATGGGCCTCCACGCCCTTTTACAGGGATGCCTTTACTTTTCTTATTCTTTAGTGATGCAGTCTGCACCAAAACTTCAGGGGTGAATTTTTTTTTGCATATTTGTTGCATACAATCTCTACATGAATCCAAAAAATATGAACTTTGTTAAATTTCTCCAAAAGTGCTGCTTGCATAAAAATTGAGTGTGTAAGGTTAAGTATAGATCACATTAAGATATACAACATCTATTAAAAACTTACTTTTCAGTATGTTGAATATAATGTCTGACTCCGTGCAATGTATTTTTAGCATGATTAGCTGTACACTGTTCCCCTAAGTGGAAAATAGCGAAGGACACATTTGGATAATGTGTATACTGCACACCTTTTTGCTGTTTGTGTATTAATTCTTATTGTGGTTAAGTTTTGTTGAGGCCGCACCATAGCTCAAGCGGTTAGTCGTTGGCTTCCCACCACGGCGGCCCGGGTTCGATCCCGGGTCTGGTCAAGTGGAATTTGTGGTGGACAAAGTGGCGCTGGGGCAGGTATTCTCCAAGTACTTCGGTTTCCCCTGCCAATCTTCATTCCACCAATTGCTCCACAATCACCCTCGACTATAATCTTGGGCTGGTACAATAGGCCAGAAGTGGCCGCAGTACAAGGGACCTAGTCCCACCCCACTAGCAATAAAAAAAATAAGTTTTGTTGAATCATATTGGTGTGTTTTAACCATCAGTCTTCAGTTAAGAATGTTGTATTCACTTGACAAGCTGTGAGATGGGAATGTTTTTTGATTCCTAGGGCCGCCATTTGAATATGAATGTGTAAGATTGTGGGACTTCTGGTGGGCTGCTGTTATCACATATTTGTTCCCAACAAACTTGAGATTAAATGCTCAAAAGTGGGCGTGTTGGTCCGTGGAGTCTGTGTAGTGAGACTTGCAACAGATAAAACTGTCATGAGATCTCAGTCCGACTAGTGAGCTTATGCTGACTTCTCCCTATTTTTGGGTACTCCTCCTCTGTGGCTTCTTTAAGGGAGGGCGTCAGTCGCGTCACACATTGCTAACTGGTGACGTTGCTCACCGTACACTCACTTTCCTTTCAGTCCAAATTTTTTTTTTTTTTTTTTTTGGAGGTAAATATATACTGACAATTATGCGGCGGTATAGCTCAGTTTAGTGGACTGGGTGACCAGGATCAGTTCCGTGGAGGCCCATGGACTTCTGTCTTTGCCACCACGCCCAGTCTGACACACTAGTGCCGAGCTTGAAAATGGGCGGATCTGCACATCCATTACGCAATACGTCTTCATGAGACGCTAGAAACGTTCTGTATTGTAAAACGCAAAGCTGATCAATGTTAACATTGGAAAATCTCAAGTTACCCAGTCTCAAACTCGGACTCGAACTAAAGACTTTCAGAATACAAACAATTTCTTAGCAGTGGTTTGAAATGTTACGAGTGGGATGCGAAATCTGTATGCTTTTGAATTGTGTTTTTATGCAGTTCCCTTAGTACTCCAGAACTGGCGATGCTCGTCCAAGTAAGGGCGTGTTTTGGCAGCTGGCACTTTTGTCTTTCCATTGATGTCGTCCTCACAATTCTGTTCGATGTTGGGTAGCACGTTCTCGTTTTGTATTGAGATCGACTGCTACTAGTGTAGGAGTAAAACCTCTGTGGGTTGGTATAGTTGAAGTTCACCTTG